AGACATTGGGGAGGGTATGTGCTATGGTGAGCACTGTGAATTGTGCAGGACTGTTGAATCACAGATCTGTACCTCTGAACCAAATAATGCAATATATGTTAAGGAAAAAAAAAAGAAGAAGATAGCAGGAGGGGAAGAATGAAGGGGGGTAAATCGGAGGGGGAGATGAACCATGAGAGACGATGGACTCTGAGAAACGGACTGGGGTTTCTAGAGGGGAGGGGGTGGGGGGACGGGTTAGCCTGGTGATGGGTATTAAGGAGGGCACATTCTGCGTGGAGCACTGGGTGTTATGCACAAATAATGAATCATGGCACACTACATCAAAAACTAATGATGTAATGTATGGTGGTTAACATAACAATAAAAAATTAAAAGAAAATTCTCCCAAAAGAAAAAAAAACATAAAAAAACATCTAATTCAGACATCATTTTGATGATCGTTTCTTTTTTTAGCAATCCATAATGATTTCTAGCGACTGCCTAAAGCTGATTAACTCCTGATAATGGCTTTAATGCCCTCCACTGCCCAACTTCCTCACTTTACCTATCCTAATCTTCTATTAGAGGAAGTCTATTTGAGTTTAAGTTGTTCCAAAGTTTACACACACATACACACACACACACACACACATGCTTGCGTGTCTATCAACCCCTTTAATAATTCTATATATTTGCAAGTTATTTTAAGAAAGTTTTCATTGTAGTAAAAATTTGTCTGTTTAAGTTTAATGAATGGAATACTGCCCAAATTTGTGAAGCATATATTCCAAAGTATTATAAAAAGACATGTAGGATAGTTAGTTATTTCTGAGTAATAATATTTATATATACAAAAGATAAACTAAGATAAATTTACCAAAGACTGAGCCATGTATTGCTACGAAACCTTACCCCAATTCATCATTTGGGATTGAGGGTTTTCTACTTCTGTTTCTGCTACTGAGAAACAGACTGCTAGGGAATTTTAAATTGTTAGAGAATTAAATGAGGAAATTGTATAATATTTTTCTTCCTATGCATTTAAACTGCAGTTAAATTGGCACTTCCTTAAATAAAAAGACTATAGCAAAATAAAATATATTTTTGGCTCTGATTTTGTACCTTGTTGGTTTTCAGTATTATTAAGGATTCTGGTAATTTTTTTTATACATAACATTTCTAAAGTTCTTGTTTGTTAACTTAGTGTCAGAACTAAAATTCATCTTACTTTTGGTGTTTTCTTTTTGACTTATATTTAATACTTAATAGCATACTGCTTTATTTTCAGTGTTGACTGATATCATTAAAGCCATTGATAAAATTAAAGATGAAAATATGGATTATGAGGATCTGAATACTTGTCTTCAGGATTTTGGAGTTTACCTTTCTAAGCCAGAATTTGAGAAGATCACAGAGTTGACTGAAGCTAATGGTAAGTGATATATTTTCAGGAAAAATGGGTTTACACATATGAAAGAGGGTCATTTGCTATTTTTTCTCTTCAGAATAATGACTTTATTATTTTTATTAGAATAAAGATCATTTAAAATTAAATCAATACAGAAAAATACTCAAAAGTACAACAAAACACACAAAATCCCATTACCCAGAAATAACCAGTAATAATCATCATTCAGACTTTTTTTTCCTATAGGCAAACATGCACACAAAAAGAAGGATTTCTGATTTTCCTTTCTGACAAGGTAGAGATCAGGACAAAAGGCCTTAAATGGGACAAAGGACTCTGTACTATGTCAAAGCCCACAATTCATAATGAAGGTACTATTATTGACCCTTATAACTAGCTAACTTTGTTATAGTTATAAATAATTAACTTTGACTAGTTTCACCCTTATAACTTAGCAACAACTTTTTTTTAAATTTTTTATTGTTATGTTAATCACCATATATTACATCATTTGTTTTTGATGTAGTGTTCCATGATTCATTGTTTGTGCATAACACCCAGTGCTCCATGCAGAATGTGCCCTCTTTAATACCCATCACCAGGCTAACCCATCCCCCTACCCTCCTCCCCTCTAGAACCCTCAGTTTGTTTTTCAGAGTCCATCATCTCTCATAGTTCGTCTCCCCCTCTGACTTACTCCCCTTCATTCTTCCTCTCCTGCTATCTTCTTCTTTTTCTTTTTTCTTAAAATAAACAACAACTTTTCTAAAGGGGATGGGTGGTAATGAGGTAGACAAATGTGTGGGGTTATAGGTGAAATGCGAATGACCATGAATTGATAATACTTGCAGCTAGAGGGAGAGTAAATGAGCTTTTATTACAATATACTTTTTATTTTGTGTATATTTAAAAATTTTCCATAATAAAAAGTAAAAAAAAAAGTAAAAAAAGTAGGAACAAATATAAGATATGTAAGACCTATGTAAAGAAAATGATAAGACTTTAAGACATTTTAGAATATCTAAATAAATGGGAATATATCCCATATTCATGGATTCAGAGACCCAAGACAGTCAATTCTAATTAATTTATTTATCCAAAGCAGTTCTGTTAAAACCTTGACTTTTTTTGATGATTTAATTCTCGTATTATTATTATAAAGACCAAGAATAGCTAAAACACTCTTGAGGAAAAAAAAAACATGTGTCTAGGGGTGTGTGAGTGGTGTTGGAGGGAACTTGCTCTCCTGGATGTCAAAACTCATTATAAAATTATAGTAAGTGTGAGAATGGCACAGGGATAGAGAAATTGACTGATAGAAACAGGATAAGAAACTTCCAAACATATCCACACACACATATGGAAACATAAGGTGGCTGGGATATATAATGATCACATAGTCATATGTAATGATTGCAGGGGGAAAAACACCATTTAATAAATGGTGCTGGAATAATTAATTATTCAAATGCAAAAAATGAAATCAGATCCCTATCTATGTATCATATTCAGTAATAATTTCCAGACGTGAACAGTAAAAGTTTTAGAAAAAGAGAAGAAAATTTTTCTGACTTACAGTTAGGAAGGATTATTTTTAAGAGACAAAATCACTAACCAGAAAAAAAAAGATTGATAAATTTGACTACATTAAATTAAAGACTTTTCTTTATTAAAAGATAATACAAACAGAATGAAAATACAAGCCACAAATGGAGTGAAGATTATTTGCAATACTCATAACAGTGAAAGATCATTGTGGAGAATATAGAGGGAACCCCTATAAATTAACAAACCAATAGAAAAATGACTAAATTACAAGAACAGCCATTGCCAGATGAAGGAACACAAGTTGCTAATAATCATATGAAAAGATTCTCAACATCATTAGTAATTAGGGAAATGCAAAATTTAGGTCACAATGAAATATCTTTTTATACCCACTACACTGGCAAAAATTAAGAAGTCTGTTAATTTAATTGTTGGTAAATAAGGCAAAAGTGGTAAATGAACTTTGAAAAACATTATGTAGTATTTTGAATGGTTTTCATACTTCATGACTTAGAAAATCCACATTTAGCTATAGATCTCAGAAAATCTCTTGCACTGATGTACAAGGAGACATGTTTAAGAATGTTCATGATGGCACTGATCTTAATAGCAAAAAAAAAAAGGAAAAAATAGAAAAGAAACAACATGATCACTGATAGAATGTATAAATAAGTTGTGATATTTGCCATTGGTGCATAATGGAATACTAATTGTGTATACATTAGTGAAAACAATATACTATATGGATGATTCTTAGAAATATATTGAATGAGAAAAGCAAGTCTCAGATTGCTATAGCAATCTGATAATTTTTATCGAACTCTAAAACAAAATGAAGGAATAGTTTGTTTATCCTGTTTAAAATTATATGTAAAAAAACAAGAGATTGGTAAATTTGAAAAATTCAGCAATGCTCTCTCTGTAGAGAAACAGTAGAATGGAATGGGAAAAGCCCAGAAGCAGATGTAGTGGTATTAATAATGTTCTTAAAATGGATGGTGGGTTCAGTGGTTCAGCTGAAACATATGTGTATCAAATAGACATTATCAGAAATAAGGGAATCTATTGCTTTAGAAATTTATATGTTCCTCTTAGTGAATATAAATCTTCATTAACTCTATCATTCCCCCAGAATTGTTTAAAGTCTCATTTTTAAAAAAAATTTTTATTGTTAAGCACCACACATTACATCATTAGTTTTTAATATAGTGTTCCATGATTCATTGTTTGTGCATAATACCCAGTGCTCCACGCAGAACGTGCCCTCTTTAATTTTTTATTGTTATGTTAATCACCATATATTACATCATTAGTTTTTGATGTAGTGTTCCATGATTCATTGTTTGTGCATAACACCCAGTGCTCCATGCAGAATGTGCCCTCCTTAATACCCATCACCAGGCTAACCTATCCCCCTACCCTCCTCCCCTCTAGAACCCTCAGTTTGTTTTTCAGAGTCCATTGTCTCTCATGGTTCGTCTCCCCCTCCGACTTACTCCCCTTCATTCTTCCCCTCCTGCTATCTTCTTCTTTTTCTTTTTTCTCAACATATATTGCATTATTTGTTTCAGAAGTACAGATCTGTGATTCAACAGTCTTGCACAATTCACAGCGCTCACCATAGCACATACCCTCCCCAATGTCTATCACCCAGCCACCCCATCCCTCCCACCCCCCCACCACTCCAGCAGCCCTCAGTTTGTTTCCTGAGATTAAGAATTCCTCATATCAGTGAGGTCATATGATACATGTCTTTCTCTGATTGACTTATTTCACTCAGCATAACACCCTCCAGTTCCATCCACGTCATTGCAAATGGCAAGATCTCATTCCTTTGGATGGCTGCATAACATTCCATTGTGTATATATACCACCTCTTCTTTATCCATTCATCTGTCGATGGGCATCTTGGCTCTTTCCACACTTTGGCTATTGTGGACATTGCTGCTATAAACATTGGGGTGCACATACCCCTTCGGATCCCTACATTTGTATCTTTGTGGTAAATACCCAGTAGTGCAATTGCTGTATCGTAGGGTAGCTCTATTTTCAACTGTTTGAGGAACCTCCATACTGTTTTCCAGAAGGGTTGCACCAGCTTGCATTCCCACTAACAGTGTAAGAGGGTTCCCCTTTCTCCACATCCCCGCCAACATCTGTCATTTCCTCACTTGTTAATTTTAGCCATTTGACTGGTGTGAGGTGGTATCTCATTGAGGTTTTGATTTGGATTTCCCTGATGCCGAGTGATGTTGAGCACTTTTTCATGTGTCTTTTTCATGTGTCTGTATGGTACTGGCACAAAAACAGACACATAGATCAATGGAACAGAATAGAGAGCCCAGAAATGGACCCTCAACTCTATGGTCAACTTATCTTTGACAAAGCAGGAAAGAATGTCCAATGGCAAAAAGACAGTCTCTTCAACAAATGGTGTTGGGAAAATTGGACAGCCACATGCAGAAGAATGAAACTGGACCATTTCCTTTCTGGGGGAATGATAGAGTTAATGAAGATTTATATTCACTAAGAGGAACATATAAGTTTTGGGTGCAAATGTCTTCTTTGGAAAAATGTCTGTTCATGTCTTCTGCCCATTTCTTGATTGGATTATTTGTTCTTTGGGTGTTGAGTTTGATAAATTCTTTATAGATTTTGGATACTAGCCCTTTATCTGATATGTCATTTGCAAATATTTCTCCCATTCTGTTGGTTGTCTTTTGGTTTTGTGGACTGTTTCTTTTGCTGTGCAAAAGCTTTTTATCTTGATGAAATCCCAATAGTTCATTTTTGCCCTTGCTTCCGTTGCCTTTGGCGATGTTTCTAGGAAGAAGTTGCTGCGGCTGAGGTCGAAGAGGTTGCTGCCTGTGTTCTCCTTTAGGATTTTGATGGACTCCTGTCTCACGTTTAGGTCTTTCAACCATTTGGAGTCTATTTTTGTGTGTAGTGTAAGTAAATGGTCCAGTTTCATTCTTCTGCATGTGGCTGTCCAATTTGCCCAACACCATTTGTTGAAGAGACTGTGTTTTTTCCATTGGACATTCTTTCCTGCTTTGTCAAAGATAAGTTGACCATAGAGTTGAGGGTCCATTTCTGGGCTCTCGATTCTGTTCCATTGATCTATGTGTCTGTTTTTGTGCCAGTACCATTCTGTCTTGATGATGACAGCTTTGTAATAGAGCTGGAAGTCTGGAATTGTGATGCCGCCAGCTTTGCTTTTCTTTTTCAAGATTCCTCTGGCTATTCGGGGTCTCTTCTGGTTCCATACAAATTTTAGGATTATTTGTTGCATTTCTTTGAAAAAAGTGGTTGGTATTTTGATGGGGATTGCATTGAATGTGTAGATTGCTCTAGGTAGCATTGACATCTTCACAATGTTTGTTCTTCCAATCCATGAGCATGGAACGTTTTTCCATTTCTTTGTGTCTTCTTCAATTTCTTTCATGAGTATTTTATAGTTTTCTGAGTACAGATCCTTTGCCTCTTTGGTTAAATTTATTCCTAGGTATCTTATGGTCTTGGGTGCAATTGTAAATGGGATCGACTCCTTGATTTGTCTGTCTTCTGTCTTGTTGTTGGTGTATAGGAATGCCACTGATTTCTGTGCATTGATTTTATATCCTGCCCCTTTACTGAATTCCTGTATGAGTTCTAGCAGTTTTGGGGTGGAGTCTTTTGGGTTTTCCACATAAAGTATCATATCATCTGCAAAGAGTGAGAGTTTGACTTCCTCTTTGCCGATTTGGATGCCTTTGAGAACGTGCCCTCTTTAATACCCATCACCAGACTAACCCATCTGGCCACCCCCCTCCCCTCTAGAACCCTCAGTTTGTTTTTCAGAGTCCATCATCTCTCATGGTTCGTCTACCCCTCCGATTCCCCCCCCTTCATTCTTCCCCTCCTGCTACCTTCTTCTTCTTTTTTTTTTTTAACATATTGCATTATTTGTTTCAGAGGTACAGATCTGTGATTCAACAGTCTTGCACAATTCACAGCGCTCACCATAGCATAAAGTCTCATTTTTTTTTAAGTCACTAAATATTTGTGTAAGAATACAAAGTGATTTGGTGCTCCTTAAATAAAGTTTTCTAAGATATTTAATCTTGGGAATAGAACAATAGGCTGTGCCTTATCTTTCATAGATTAGAATTAGAATTTTTTAAAAAGTGGGATAAGCGAAGGAGTAGAGTTATCAAAAGCTCATTATATTAATATAAAACCTTTAATGTGGCCTTCAAAAATTCTTAGAGATTTTTTTTTCATTCTAATATTGGGATATTATATATAATCAAGGAGAGATATTTTCTAAGTATAAAATGACTATTAGAGTATTTAATAGTTTAAATAGTGTACTGGAATAAAGACAGGATGTGAATGGTACCCTGACGTGGAAGAAACCAGAAGTCGAGAGAGCTTACTTCTAATCTCTGATCTTGTATTTCCTTTTGTGACCTTGGAAAAAAGTCATGATATCTATCATGTATAAGTATATTTTTCTAAATATGTAAAATAACATACTAATTCTTCACCTACATATCTTAGTGAATTGTTGCAAGGCCAAGTCAAGGTAATGTAAGTTAAAATTAAAAATGTTGTACACTTGTAACTAGAAGGATTTTGATTAATTTTCCTGGTAATTTTCAGCATTTACTTTCTCCTTGTAAGTTGCATTGCTTTTTCTCTTATACCCGTATATTTTTAGTGATATTAGCTGATGGCTATAATTATATTAACTCCCTAAATAGAGAATTTATTTTACATAATTCAATATTTGTCTTAATAACTTAGTACTTGAAGATAATGAAAAAAATGTTCTTTTCCCTTTAGAAACAAAAAAGGCGAATTTTAAAGAATTCATTGATATAATGATGAACAATACGGAACGCTTCTCTGAAAAATTATGTATGTAAGAACAGCATATTTTATGCTTTTAGTGGACCAAATGGTGTGACAGATTTTAGAAGAATATAATATACCAAAAGACATCCTACAGTTTATCAGGCAAATAAATGCCTGGCTTACTGCTGATATGTTTGGCCTTAATCTTCTCCAGTAATGATCCCTAAATCCAGAACAACCTCCACGTGCAAATGAGTTGAAAGCTATCATAATCTCACTTACTATAGAGAGTTAGAACCACGTATATAAAATTCATTTTGGGAAGAGCCAAAATGTCTTCCCAATTTGGGGAAGTGATGCCATCTAGTGACTATAGTTGAGTACTAGTAAGCAGATTTTCTACTTGAAGCTGTATTTTTTTTTCCATCTTCCAGTTTGTTTAGTAACATTTATTGAGCCATTGTTATGTACCAGGCTTTATGTTAAGCTGTGAGTGCGGTAAACTGAGAAAGACAGTCTTTGTCACTCAGAAGCTCGCTCTAAAGAAATATAAGGTTGGGGCGCCTGGGTGGCTCAGTCGTTAAGAGTCTGCCTTCGGCAGGTCATGATCCCAGAGTTCTGGGATTGAGCCCTGCATCGGGCTCCCTGCTCTTCGGGAAGCCTGCTTCTCCCTCTCTCACTCCCCCTACTTGTGTTCCCTCTCTCGCTGTCTCTCTCTGTCAAGTAAATAAATAAACTCTTAAAAAAAAAAAGAACTATAAGGTAATATATGTATATTTTAAATGGAGTGAAGTTAGTACTTTAAAAATTGGGGTTAGGGGTACCTAGACGGCTCAGTCGATTAAGCATCTGACTCTTGATCTCAGCTTAGGTCTTGATCTCAGTGTCATTAGTTCACGTTCCACACTGGGCTCCATAATGGGCGTGGAGCTACTTAAAAAAAATTGGGGTTAAAAGTAGCATTTTGTTATTTTGTTCTTAGTATTGAGTAATAGCACATTTTAAGTAAGTTATTTTACCTTATAAATCCATTTAATTTGTTTTCTATTCAAGGAAACAATAGATTAATTGGATGAAGAGATTATTTGCATTGTTAGATACTTCATTTTTCTGAGGAATTTCAGTGTCATGGAGATAAAAAATTTTATTAGCACAGAGTTGTATAGTATAGTATCTTATTTGTATCTGTAGTTATATTTCCTTTCTCATTTTTAATATTGCACATTTATGTTTAATACTTTTCCTTTTTTCTTCATTTGCTCATATCTTCATCAGACTGCTTATTGGTTTTATATACCTCATTGGGACCTTCCATCCATCTACCCCTCTACTTTCACCTTACCCGCCAGTCTCTTCCTGTTTTCACTTTTCCTTCTTAGTCAGTTTAAAATCTCTGGTCTGTGTGTCTCAAATACCCTAAGCTTTCTTGCCCCTTTGTTGCACCTAGCTAACAAAACTCCCAACCCTGCTTTCTCCTTGTGGCTGACAGCATTTCTAGAGAAAATTTTACAGCTGAGCAGATTGAATAGAATGCCACTATAAAGTCTTGATCATCAATGTCTGATGGCCCTTGACACTGCCTAGGAATTATGGGATTGTTCCTCCCGAGTTAGCTTATTTTTTCACTCTCTGAAATAACTATTTAAAATCTCCATTCTCTCAAACTTCCATTCCTACCCCCAACCTCTACCCTTCTCACATTTAGCAGATAACTTTGCCTTTATAGGGAAAATAGAAACCTGTCTCTATTTTGAGGACATTAAGATATTTCCAAATATTTTCTTCTAAAAATTTTTAAGTTTTTCTTTTTCATATTTAAGTCTTTAATTCACCTGAAATTGATTTTTAAGTATGGAGTGAAATTGAGATCCAATTTAATTTTTTTCCATAAGGATAATTAGCTATGACAGTTTTATGTTAATTCTTTGTTTAGAATTTATATATTAACTAAATAATTTGATTTGGAACCCAACACTTACACACGATAGTCTTGGGATTTAGCTTATCGTTGGAGATTTATTCCCCCCATTCATACCTTAGGCAGAGAACAGCTTTCTTCTTGAATTCCTAAAAAGGTGACCAAAGTGTTTTTAGTCATAATTTTTAGATGGGAAGACTTTTCAGTGTCCTGGTTTTAAGTTGGCATCTCAATTATAATTCTAGACTTGTCTGTACCACATAATAACAATAATTACTACTAGTACTCACATTTATTGAGTGCTTTCTATGTGCCAATACTGTTCTAAATACTTTTTATTTATTAACTCATTTAATTCTCATATCAACTCTAATATTATGTTTATTTTATGGATGAGAAAACCACGACATAGAGGTTAAAGAAGTCATATAGCTAGTCTGTGGTAGAGTTAAGATTAAAACTCAGGTGGAGCTTAGGGTCTTAACTTCTACATTATACCATCTGACTGCTATGGCATCAGCTTAGGCACACACATAAATCATATTTCTTCCTCATTTCTGGTATCTGATGATTTTCCTTTCTATTGAGCTTAGCATTCAGTTGTTTAGCCCCCAAAGTTAGGAGTCATTCTTGATCTTTTTTCCCTTGTGGCCTTAGCTCCACCAACCGCTTCCCTCATTCAGTTCATTACCAAATATTATTTTTAGTGATATTTTAACTTAGTATAGAATATGTTTTGTGTTGGAAATTGAAGGAGAATGTGGCTGTCATCAGAATACTATATTGCCAGTTCTCTAAAAACACTCATTCAGGTTTTGACCTTGCCACCCATACTAGCTTTTTTTTTTTTTTTTACAAAAGTTAAATCTCATTTTGTTAAATCTAATCATCAAGTTTTTGTTTTCATCTTGTTTACCTCCAGCAGTTTTTTTACTTCAAGTATCATTTACATACAGTGTTATGTTAGTTTCAGGTGTACAGCATAATGATTCAACCATTCTTATGTTTTAATTTAATATGTTTATTCAAAATTTTCTCTTCTTGTGGGTGCCTGGGTGGCTCAGTTGTTAAGCATCTGCCTTCCGCTCAGGTCATGATCCCAGGGTCCTGGGATCGAGCCCCACATCAGGCTCCCTGCTTTGCAGGAAGCCTGCTTCTCCCTCTCCCACTCCCCTTGCTTGTGTTCCCTCTCTCGCTATATTTCTCTCTGTCAAATAAATAAATAAAATCTTCTTCCTAACTGCCTGATCTTCCAGAGAGTCCATTCTCTATACAGCAGCAAAGTGATCTTTTACACATTTGTGATGAGATAATTTCACGCCCCCCCCCACACACATTAAACCTTCCATTAAATTCTATTGGAATTTTTTAAAAAACAAAATTTCTTCCCATGGTCTGCAGTGGTAGATTGAAGAGAAAGTAAGATCCAAGGAAGAATTTTGGGGGGGGGGGAGATGTAGAGCAAAAGCTATTTAATTCACATTTTTATCAATTGGGCTTGTTTATGAATTCAGACTTCTATAAATCTATATAGTTCAATGCAAATTACTCTAGTGGTTATTCAGGGGTGGGGTCACCATAAGTTCTAGAAATGTTTCAGAATCCTCAAAGACACACTAATTTTGGTGTTAAATATTTTATTGTATTTTAATATTTGAAAATTGGCAGGGGCGCCTGGTTGCTTCAGTTGGTAGAGTGTGGGACTCTTGATTTTGGGGTTGTGAGTTCGAGGCCCACATTGGGTATAGAGATTACATAAAAATAAAATCTTTAAAAAAAGAGAAAGAAAATTGGCAATCATTTATGCTGTATTTGTTATTCTTCTTAACTGTAAAAACCTTAATTCCTGACGAGTCCAGATAATAGTTTACTGTACTAACTTCTTGGACAAGAATGTTGTAAAACTTGTGTGTTATCTACCCTTCAGCATTGCCTGAGACTATTGAAAACCTCCACAATCTCAGCAAAGAAAAGATGAATGCTTCTCACCTATGGAACACTCTGTCCAGGAAGAATAATAACTTGAAAAAAAAAGAATTCCTAGGTGCACTGAAATTAGCAATAATTGATGGTAAGTAGGCTAAATATTAAAATTAAAAGATTTACAAGCATATGGTTCTATCTTCTATCAATCTTTATTTTTCCTTGTATCTTGTATTTGGTTGATATGCCAATATACACATTTAGGAAATATAAAGAAAGCTCAGATTGTTTGTCCTACAGAAAAAAATGTTAATATCTAATTTACTATTACTCTAAATTGATCAAATATGAATTGACTATCTTCAGGTTGTGTAACATGTTACTGGAAAATGGCACATCCCAGTGAACACAGAAAGGATTGTTAGGAAATATTAAGAGATCTATTCCAGTTTTTTTTTTTTAACACTATTTGGGATATCCATACTGTTTTGTTGAAATAGGCTTTCATTTAATTTGCTAGAAAAACACACCTGATGGTGGCTACCACTTCTACTTAGTTAGCAAGTAAAAAAAAGATTCAAAACAAAAAATAAGTTCACAAAAGTACTGTAAAACAAAGACTATAGACTAAAATTTTAAAAATAAGACTATCATTTACTGCTGATATTTTGTAGGCAGGAGAGAGGTAGCACGCAAACACAGGTGAACGTTTCTACTCCCTCATGAAGTTACAAATGTATTATCGTACTCTTGTATGTGGAATGTTTATGCCAAACTAGCCTAGTAACACAAGCATGCATCTGGGGTCTTTGTCAAAGAACTGTCTTTCCCTGTGAGGATTATTTACCCCTTTTTCTCTGTTAAGCTCCTGTTCAAGTGACACTGGTAATTTTGGACTTTAAGTGTGTTGATTGTTTTGTTTAGTGAGATATTTGAGATGAGGAGGGTTGATCAAAATAGAGGGATACTTACCACCCGATAGTAGGGACTTTTTTCCCCCTCTCTTTTCTTTTATTGCAAAGCTTCAGTTTTTCTTGATAGAGTGAGTGGAATTTGAAGGCAACACATACCAGAGAAAGTATTATGTAGCATTTATTTTAATCAGACCAGTAAGGTATCATTTTATGAGCTATAAAAATAACTCAGCGATCTATAAAATTACTTATTGTAATAATAAAAACCCCATGTACTGTATCCGATTCATTATTATATACTTATAAAGCAAAAACACAGTGTGTAAAATCCAAATCCATGCATGATATTGAAAACTTTGTGTACCCCATCTGTCATACCATTTTTTCTTGTAACTTGGACCTTCAGTACAAAGATTTAATTCTTATTTTAATGTAGTGGTTTGCAAAGTTTTGAACCTTGTTATTTTTGGTTTTGTATTTATATTTGGTGCTGTTAAAGCAGGAGAATTCTTTCCTTCTAAATGAAATCTTACAGAGTACATCAATATATAAATCATAAGAGTTGAGTTTCTCTGATTAAAGTGGGGGAAATGATCAAGTGAGCTGCTTAAGTAGCTCAACAAGACTTAGAAATATGAACAAGAACTTAAAAATTACTGGGTATATACTTACTAGGATATACTTTTTTGACCATGTTATGTTAAAGAGGAAAAAAAACTGATTTAGGTTTCCTGTACTTAGTGAGATTGAAGAATTACTTCTTGGTTATTGATGGTATTCTGTATTGACTCATTAATATTTTAAAGTATATTTAAAGTTTTTAAAAAATAATTTTAAAAAGATTTTATTTATTTGTTTGTCAGAGAAAGAGAGAGACAAAAGCAGGGGGAGTGGCAGGCAGAGGGAGAAGCAGGCTCCCCGCTGAGCACAGAGCCCAGTGAGGGGCTTGATCCTAGGACCCTGGGATTGTGGCCTGGGCTGAAGGCAGACAGTTAGCCAACTAAGCTATCCAGGCATCCCTAAAAAATATTTTTATGATGGCTACAAAAAGGCATTGAAAAATAGAAAGGGTATTTATCATTTGGCAAATTTAGAAATGCTTCCCCAATATCTTATTTTATAGCACCTGTATTCTATCCTATGATCATAAACTACAGTAATTCTAAATCCTTACACTAAGTTTCCTGTTCCTGACTGGGAAAACAAAGCTGTCTCTGTCCCCTGTGTTTGTCACTTTGGCTTTCTAGTATCTGTGTGTTCTTGTGTATGAAATGGGTATAAACATGTGTTAGAAATTACAGAACCATCTGGCATTGGAAAAATCTTTAAAGTTAATCTAGTACAGTATTTTTATCTTCAAACATTTGAAAGGTTAAACTAAAACTGAGGTTTGTCTCTTAGTGTTCTCCCTAGGCATATGGATTACATAATTTCTCTTGATTGATGGAAATTGAAAACTCAGCCCTTTTCCTATAATCTTAAGGTTTATTCATTCCATAAAATTAATCTTTTGGAGAGCCAACAATATGAAAAGGAAATATGATTTTTATGAATACATCAAATAATTTACCTTTTTAGAGATTGCTGCATTGGATCCTGACTTTTGCTTAGTGAGGCTGATCTATTAAAAATGTTTGAACATAATAATAAAAAAATGTTTTTCTTGCAGAAGATGATGAAGTACAAATAGAAGAATTTGGAAAAGTGGTAAAGGATATGCGTAATGCCTCCAGGTTAAAAGGTAAGTACTAGATTATTGTGACTGCTAAATTTACTTTTATTGAATGGATGTCTTTTTGTTTTGTTTTTTAGTGTTTCTAGTTCTGCTCATTTCTGGTTAACATGTTGGTATTGATCTGTTTTAAAGCAGGCAAAACTTGGTTTTGATTAAAAGTTGGCAGCTTCCATGATGAAAGAAAAAAGGCTTTTTCTGGAATGGGGTCTGTGTAAAGCTATTTTAAATCCCCTTTTTGTTTTTGGGCTTTATATAAAGTCAGCTGCTGGCTTTAAATTTTTTCAGATATGAGTATCTTCTATATAATTTTACGCCTCAGACTTAGGACTCTACCCAGTGTATAGGCTTCTATATTATTCTATAGAATTTCTCAGAAATCTTCTACTGCTTCCTTTAGTAGACATTCCTCATGTTATTTCTTTGGTTTTTGTTAAAATACAAGAGTGACCCTAGCACTCTTGTATTTTAACATTTTGATAGCATGGGTATTTTCTACTACTTGACTTCCATTTTTGCTTAAAAGTTAAAAAACAGAACTAAAACCAATGAAGATTATACTTGTGGAGTTTGTGTACTTTTTGTTTGGAAAATAAGTTTTAAACTTAATATCACTGGTAATTTATTTGAATAACCACTCAAATGAGTATTTGGTCAATAAGCACTATCAAGAAAAGAATACAACATAGGTATATATTTAGGGAAACAGATGGGGTCATTTCTGGGTATAAAGAAATAGACAAATACTTCTCAGATTTTCAGTAACCACTCTGCCCTGCATAGGAAATTTCTGACATTATTGTTTCTCTTTTAGATTAAGAAAACTGTTTAATAATTCCCTGCTGACATATAAATATGTTACCTGGGTCACATAATATAATTAGAATCAACATAGTATAGTTACTTGTGCTCTAGGAAACAATGCACAGAGGTAGAAAAGAACATGGGCTATGGAGTATGATATATGATGGTTTGTGGTTTTTTGACTTATCAGCTGGGTAATCTCTCTCGGCCATTCTGGTTTCCTCATCTTTAAAACAAGGAAACTAATAAAATCGTGTTTCTCATAGAGTTTTCAGGATCAAGTGCAAAAACACATGTAAAGCATATCACCTAATTATTAGGCACATATTATGTACTTGGTAAATTGTAGTTAATTTTGAAATGAGAGAGCAGAGCTCAGAAGGAGACTGGTATTCAGAATAGATAACTTTTTATGAGGAAGGAGGAAAAATTTTTGAAATTAAGCCATTGGAAAAGGAGAACAGATATAGTTTAGGTACCTGAATCTGGGAGATGGTCACATTAGGGAGATGGCACTGGAATTTTTCAGCTAGTGCAGTGTAAGGCCAATAACCACAGGGAAGAGTTAGGAAGCGCCACTCTAGAAGACAAGTGTTAATGTAGCAGGCCTGAAGCTGCTCTCTTTAGAAAAGCCTGCTTGCAAGGTTGACTGGCACATGAGAACTTGGCTTTCAGAATGTTCCCTTCATTACTAAAGGATAAGGCTAGTTCACTGTGCCTTGACTATTTGTTGGCGAACTTGGAGGGGCCTAGAAAACAGGCATATTGTGAATAAAGTTCTGTGCTTTCCTTCAACATGCACACATAATTATAAGGGATTATGGTCAGGTGTCTGATCTTGTAGTTTAATATTTTAGAGGTGGGGCAGGCAGTTCTAGGTAATGATGAGGATTAAGGATAGCCATTGGTTGGATGACTTTGGAAAGGATGTGAAGGCTTTTTGGAGTTAAGAGGTCAAGGTCATCCTTATTGTTATCAGATGATAACGGGAAATGGGGTTGAGGGAGGATTATGAGCAAGGTGCCAAAATCTTCAGAGATGGTGAAGGTGTGCTCAAAAAGTAATAGATGATGGTGTCAGGAGGGTGGCTTAGGTGAATGACAGGCCTGAGCCTCAGAGGGGAGGGCTGATGTTTGATTGAAGGTGGAACTAAAGTAGCCTGACAGCAGCAGCAGAAATTTAGGGGTGTTTCTCTGCTTCCTGGTCCTATGTGGAGCATGGGAGGATGAGCAACTTCCACTCAAGATGGCTGTGCAAGGAAACCGTATTTGAAAGGAAACCGAGTTTTAGTTAAAACAAAGAAGCAGAAGTCATACAGGTTTTTAGGTGCCGGCAAACTCAGATTGCCATTTTCAGTTGCCTCCCCATGATGTTAGGAGGACAGAAAATGAGGCAGGATCAAAGGTACTAAGGAGCTGTGATTACTATTTATAGCTAGTTCCTGATGGCTTTAGTAATAATCATAGTAGTTGTAGTGACTTTATTGCTATTAATATGACATTTATTAAGTGCTTGCCATATATCTAGTATTGTTTTAAGTGTTTTTCATACCTCATCATATTTAATTTCCACATCAACCTTGTGAGGTAAATAGTATTATTATCTCATTTTAGATATAAGACTACTGCATTTTATAGAGGGGTAAAGTAGTAATAATTTGCTCAAGGTCACACAGTTCCAGGTGACAAATCTTGGAGCCAGGATATGAATGCAAGTCTATCTGACTTAACACTGCCTCCTTTGAAAAGGCTGAAAATGAAGGAAAATTCCAGATACCAGGGTACTACTGAATTGCGGTAGAATTGAAAAAAAAAGGCTAATGAGTCTTTGTAATACTTGTGTTTCATATTTTACATTTCTCATGATTCTGAAATTCATTTCACTTCAATCAGGATGAGTTAATTTTGTTGACTACCATTAGAGCTTCATGGTAAAATAACGGCTTTGTGTAATTGCAGTGAAAAATTCAGCTATATGAATCATTTCAGTTGTGCCAATTTTATATTAGCACCAAAGAAACATGACAGACCAAGCATATTGTGTTGCTGGACTTAGAATTCCCTGAGGCCTGGGTTCTTCACTGAGATTTCTTATTCTTCAATTCAGGATGTGATAATAAATCTTGGACTGCCTCTGACAAAAGTCTTTAGTGATGGCTACTGTTGTTTTTAAATCAGAGGTTAGGCGGCACCTGGGTTGCTCAGTCACTTAAGCGTCTGCCTTCGGCTTAGGTCGTGATCTCAAGGTCCTGGGATGGAGCCCCGCACTGGGCTCCCTGCTTGGCAGGGAGTCTGCTTCTCCCTCTCACACTCCCCCTGCTCATGCTTTCTCTCTCTCAAATAAATAAATAAAAAACTTTGAAAAAAGAAATAGTTCATTCCTTTAACAACAACAAAAAAATAAAATAAAAAATAAATCAGAGGTTAGTTCAATTACCAAATAACTTTCTTCTATTTCTAGAGTTACAGGACATTGTCTTAGCTCTTGATGTGCTTGAAGGTGATATGATACCTGGGAAGAACTTGGAGAGCTTTCTAAGAAATATTGGGATTAAGTCACCTGAAGAAGAGGTAGAGAAAATTCTTCAATCAGATTTTGTTTCTGGTAAGCATTTAAATATTACTATCAGGTTTTCTTTGTTTTGTTTTGTGTAGGAGACCCTATAAAGAGAGTGTACAAGGTCTTTGTTTAAGTAAATGGGGTTCCTCTGTTGAGCAAATAAATATAGGTATTTGCTTGTATTACTGTAAACATCTTAAAAAGGAGTCTTTCTTCTTTTACATTCCTCTTTTGCAGTTATGAGAATACTTTTTAACAAGCAGGTCGAAATTTTGTGGGGGTTGGGCTTGTTGGTATCCACTTCTTCAGATATGTCTTGATTTAGTGACTAATGAATAGTTTGGAAATTCCAGTTCTGTGAATAGGAAACCTAGATTTGCCACTTTGCGCCAAGGGAAGTTATTAAACTTATAACTTTCTTGGTATTTTAGTTCCCTTAAAGGTAGAATCAGAAATAGTATATCTACAATCTTGTAAGGTTAATTGTGAAGCATAATGGTTGAAAATGAATCCAAAGTATCTTGTATATAAAGTGTTTAAGAAATTGTTTGATGATTTTGATTTTCATACTAGCTTTTTAATCTTACCTTATTCAGGGATTCTTGTCTATCTCCTCTCTCTCTCTTCCAGATGACAACATCGTGAATGTTAAAGACTGTATGAAGGCTTTGAAGGACAACCAGAAATTTTCCAATTTTCTTGGTAAGAGCTTTATGGTAAAACTGTTGAATGGCCACAGCACAGGACTCGTTCAGAGGTCACCTAGTCAAATACTATATTTGGTACTTAAATCTTATTTGTAGTAGTATTTGTGCCAAAAGATTTTTCATTTGTATTTGAACATTTCCACTTGTGGCAAACTTTCCTACAGTTTTTTTCATTTAAGTATTTTTACTTGAGGAGCTCTCAGTCTGTTAAGCATGCAACTCTTGATTTCAGCTCAGGTCATGATCTCAGGGTCATTGGATTGAGCCCCACGTGGGATTGAGTACACACATGCACGCACACTCTCTCTCTCAATAAATAAATAAATAAAATCTTAAAGGAATTTTTACTTCAGTAGAAACGATTGGGAAAATCATGAGGTTGTAATGTTTTCCAATAGCTAAATAAGAAAACTTTATTATATAATAATAGCAGTTTTTAAACTGTTATAAAAAATATAGTGACCAGAAATGTAAGAAATATAAAGATAGGGCTCTTGTAATGTCACCCTCTGGAAATATCCCTGTTAATGTTTGTTAAGTATCCTTTTCGGCTTTTTTATTGGCATGTATGAATATTTGTGTATTCTTAAATTATTATTTAAAAATTAAATTACTCTGTCCATAATATTCCACAACTTGCTTTTTAAAAGAAATTAACAGTATATCTTAGATATTGTTCCATGTTCCATTATATCATATAAACTACCTCATTCTTTTTAAAGACTGCATAATATTCCATGGTAGGGATGCACTATAATTTTATCCACAACACTTTTGATGATATTTAGGTTATTGCCAATTTTTAGCCATTCAAACATTTTGATGAGCATCCTTATATGTATATATGTGCACAAAGTTTTCCTGGAGGATAAATTCCCCAGAAGTCATAGTGCTAGACCAAAATATATGCAGATATAAGATGTTAACAGCTACTGCTTAATTATCCTCCCGAAGGGTTATAAAAGTTCACTTTTATCAATAATGGATATTAGTTATTGAAAATTCTGGTAAAAAAATTCTATTATTGTTTTAATACATACTTCTTTTTTTTTAATTTTTTTATTGTTATGTTAATCACCATATATTACATCATTAGTTTTTGATGCAGTGTTCCACGATTCATTGCTTGTTCATAACACCCAGTGCTCCATGCAGAACGTGCCCTCCTCAATACCCATCACCAGGCTAACCCATCCCCCCACCCCCCTACCCTAATACATACTTCTTTAATGACTAGTGAGGTAAAACATATTTTTCATGATTGTCAAGTGTGCTTTGATTATATTTCAATTAGATTGTCTTTTTCATATGAATTTGTAAAGAGCTCTTTATATATTAGGCACATCAATGTTCTGTCCTATCGCAGTTTTTTTCTAGTTTATAATTCATCTTTGATTTTGGTGATTTGATTTTTGCCATTTTCTGTCTTATTTTATCAGTGTTGGTAGTTTTTATTCTCTTAGGAAATTTATTTTATTCAGGTGATTTATCAGAATATTAATACAGCCCTGATAATTCTTTTGATTTTTTGTATCTGGTTATTTTCTCATTCTTGAATTTGTACATATGTACACCTTACCTTTTTCTATGTCTACTAACAAAACATTTTATAGTTAAAAAATTAATTTCTGCTTTTGTCTTTATGAAATCCTTTCTATTGTTCTCTTATGCCCATTTTATAGTTTTTCTAAGTTGTTTATTTACTTTTTTTTCTTACTGGACATTAAATGTTTAAGACTATCATTTTCATTTTAGTAAAATTTTGGTTTATCTAATGGTCTTTGTATATCATTGTTGTTGTTTTCTAAGTATTTTCAGTCATATTTTGATTTTCTCCTTGATGTAAGAGTTGTTTAGGAGAAAACTTTAAAATTTAAAGTAATTTTAAAAAAATTTTAAAGCAATTTGAATTTCATTATTGCTCTATCTTTGTTGTTTATTTTTAGTTATATTTTATTGTGGTCAGAGAATGAGGTCTATAGTAGAGGATTTGATAGTTCCATGCTCATTAGATATGGAGTTTCTTCAATTATTATATGTTTATTTAAAAACCACATTAGTGGCTTTCAGGGACAGGCTAATGGTAATACACACTCATCCTACTATTTGTCTTGGAAATCCTTATGACTTTTTGAAGCAGCCCATTCCATAATTTTGGACAGCTGCAGGACTGGTCAATTATTCTACATATTTGGTGGAAATCCTGCCTTATAATTCCATTCCCAAACCATATTTAACATTTGGACTCTTCCTCCTATCAGTAGCCCTCCAGAGATGTGAGAAGAACTCATATTTTTTTTCTTTCACATTGAATCATCTTTTCTCTAGACTCACACTTCCCTTCAGCCCTTCCACATGGCCTGTTTTTGAAACTTCTTGCCAATGACTAATGACTAAAAAATGGAGCAACATAATGAGTTAAATTATACTTCTACATAAACTAGCTAATTTTAAAGTAACTTATTATACATTTCTTTTAACAAATCCTGAGAGATGATTTTTTAGATATATACTTTAGAAATGTGAAGGGTTTTTTAAAAAATATTTTATTTATATATTCATTTATTTATTAGAGAGAGAGGGAACCAGTGAGGGGAGGAGAAGAGGGAGAGAGAATCCCAAGCAGACTCCATTCTAGGTGTGGAGCCCAATGTGGGGCTCTGTCCCAAGACCCTGAGATCATGACCTGAGCCTAAATCAAAAGTCAGATGCCCAACCGACTGAGCCATTCAGGGAGGTCAGTTGCGGATTTCCTCTTCTAGATGTTTGATGTTATTGTGCTAAACATAATAGGCTTTGCTGATTCTCTAAATTGGGTGAAGTGAGGTGACAGGAGCAAGGGGTATAGGAAAAGAAAGTGGAAAAGGAAGGATTGGGGTTTGAGAGCAGTTGTGAAGAATGAGGGTATTTTTTACTGAAATGGTGAACTCATTAATAGATGACTAGAGAAACTTTGGCATACTTTTTTGTTCATATAGGAATAGCCCACCCAGAACCCAGAATTTTAAGAAAATAATTTTAAGAATAAAGATAAAGGGTTATAGAAAACTATAGTGGAGAATGGATTGCTCTACTTATTTAAATGGCCACATGTGGGTAGTGGCTGCCATTTTGGACAGTGCAAATCTGGAAGAGTCCATCAGTTTTATTGTTATGTTCCAAAGATTTGGATCGATGGACTAAAGTACATGTTGTATATATATTCTCTGTGTTTGTAGCATTGAATGACATCATCAATTCATTGGACTCTATGGAAGAAAGTGATCAATCTGATAAGGACAAATATGCAGGTGTACTTGGAAATGCCAATAGAATTTATTTCACTGATGATAGTCTTCAAGAAATACTGGATGATTCCTTTGGTGAGGGTGAGTTAATTGAGTGACTTGTAATAAAAATTTCTTCTAAAATGTTATCTAAGGATTTTTAAATATTTTACCAAATACTAATTAAATCTTAATACTTAGTTCCTAATAATATTTAGTTAATATTATAATATTTAGTTCCTAAATAATAGCATAAATGTATTGAAATGTGATTTACTACAGACCAAATTTAGGGATATACCTTATATTCTATATCCACAGATATATCCATTTAGTTATTACAGTATCAAATTCCTGGATAATCTCTTGGACTGGTTTGTAAAGTTGGTCTCAAAGTATTTATATATGTTGTTGTATGGCTTTGAAATATTTCTTTTTAGAGTAATTTCATTTCAAAGTTAATCCCTTTCCTTTTATGAATTTTAGAGAGGTCTTAATAGTTTTCTAAGCTTTTTTTTTTTTTTAGGTGAAAGCCCTTTGAAAAGTGCAAGTTATCGTTGGAACAATTAGAACATTTGTCTATATAACACTCATATATAGCTGCTCTTTGATCTATTTACAAAGAATTTTCCTGACCTATCTATATTCTCAGCTGGGATATATCCTTATTTGGAAAGCCATTTCTTGCCTTAAATTTAGCTTCAGGTAAAAAATAAGATCAGATCTGCCTCTCAGGGAACAACTGGCAATGTGTGAAGACAGTTTAGATTGTCAAAACTGATGGGGGAGGGTTGCTAGCATCTAGTGAGTAGAAGCAAGGGATGCTGCTAACCATCCTATAATGTATGGGACAGTATCCCCCCCAAACAATTATCTGGACCCAAATGTAATTTTGCTGAGGTTGAGAAATCCTGTTTTAGAATTATAAAATTGCCAAACCTATTTTGAAAGTACTTTTTAATAGGTTAGTTATTGTTGTTGTTGTTGTTTTTAATCCTGCTTAGAACAAGTAAAAAAAAAATTAAGATAAATAGAATGTATTTTTATTCTAACCTCCTTTTGTTTTAAGGTAATACCTGGACTAGTTCTGAGTTGTTCTAAACTGCTCTCTGACTGTAATATGGTCCATCTATGCAAATGGACATATTTTATTTCTATCACTTGTCTCTCAAATAGATCTCTATAGCAATTTGCATTTTTGTAGAAAGTGTATAGGATGAAGGGTGTAACTGCAACTTGTCCTAAGGAAAAGCTCCAGGACTAGATATATAGGTAGGCAAGCAGAACTAGAGAAGGACAATTCAGACTAATAATTAAGTATTTTACTGAACATATGGGCCTGGGCATTAACCTGCCCTCTTAGGGAGAAAGGGAACATTTGTGACATTAGAATCTCAGTCACATTTAAGGAGCTTGGTGGAGGTTGACAAATCCATGGAGTCTAAGAAGTAAGAGGAAGATGAGTAGAGAATAATATTCTGGAAGCCAGTGGAAGATTTTGAGAAAAAGGGAATAGTCAATGAGAAATGTTACTGAGGAATGAAGTAATCTATCCATTGGCTTTCTTTCAAACTGGATAAAATCAGGATGCTTTTCCTTATGGCATAATCTCTCTCCCTCTAAATTTGCAGATTTTAGGAAAGAAGCTTTGTCTTCAAATCTGAGACTACCAAAAGCAGATGGTAAGAACTTTATATATATATAAAAAATATATATAAAATATATATACACTTTTTATACACTATTTATATATATTTTATATATTATATATATATATATATGAAAGCATTCCCTATAAAAGAGTTATTTTTTAGGATCATTGCCAGGTGCCAGTGGATTCCTAGTCAATTTTTCCCACTCCAGCCAGAGTAATATTTTTTTCAAAAAAGTAATCTGATCATGTTATGTCTCCCTATTTATAACTCTTTAAACATTTTCCATTGCTGTTAGATAAAGATCAAAATCCTACATGTCCTAGTCCTCTAGCACAATTTTGTACCATTACCCTTATTTTCTATAATTTCAGATATGTTGACTTTCTTTCATTTCCTTAGATCTCTCTTTTCCTCCCACCAAAAAGCTTTTGCATATTTTATTCCCTGGAATATTTTTCCCTGACCCTCTTTGCCTAGTTAATGTTTACTCATCTTTCAGATGCGTGTCAGGTTCCTCTAGGGAGCCTATCATTATCTGCTAGTCTAGGTCAGCTTCCTTTGTTATAAGCTTTCATTAAACCATGTCTCATTCATAGCATTTATTTCATATTATAAGTACCCATTCATATTTTTTAAATGATACTAGAAATGCTCAGTATTTTTACCATATAAAGTAACAAAAATAAGGGCATCTGGCTAGCTCAGTCAGTAGAGCATGTGACTCTTGATCTCAGAGTCAGGAGTTCAAGTGCCATGTTGGGTATAGAGCTTACTTAGAAAAAAATAAAGTAATAAAAATATTAAATAACTTAAGTCATCTTAATTCATTAATATCAAAATAATATAATTTTTCATTAAAAATTTTTTATTTGAGTATAGTGAACATACAATGTTATATTTACTTCAGGTATACAACATAGTGATTCAACTTTATACATTATGCCATGCTCACCACATATGTAACTACCATCGGTCACCATACAAAGTGATTACAATATCATTGACTATATTCCCTACACTGTGCCATGACATATTCATTACATAACTGGAAGCCTGTCTCTCTTACTCCCCTTCACCCATTTTGCCCATCCTACCCCCCTTCTCTCTGGACATTATCAGTTTGTTCTCTATATTGATAGGTCTGATTCTGCTTTTTTTTTTTTTAAGATTTTATTTATTTATTTGACAGAGAGAGAGAGCACAAGCAGGGGGAACAGCAGAGGGAAAGGGAGAAGCATGTTCCCCGCTGAGCAAGGAACTCTACACGGGGCTCGATCCCAGGACCCTGGGATCATGACCTGAGCTTAAGGCAGATGCTTAACCAACTGAGCCACTCAGGCACCCCCTGATTCTGCTTTTTGTTTGTTTTTTTATTTGTTTTGTTTTTGAGATTCAACATATGAGTACAATCATATGGTATTTGTTTTTCTCAGTCTGACGTATTTCACTTAGCATAATACCCTTTAGGTCCATCCATGTTGGCAAAATAGCAAAAAAAAAAAAAAAAAAAGAATCAACAAACAACAAAACTCATTCTTTTTCATGGCTGTGTCATATTCCACAATATATTACATCTTTATTCATTCACCTACTGATGGACACTTGAGATACTTCCATATCTTGGCTTTTTTTTTTTAAAAGAGTTTATTTGTTTATTTGACAGAGAGAGACACAGCGAGAGAGGGAACACAGCAGGGGGCATGGGAGAGAGAGAAGCAGGTTTCCCAGTGAGGAAGGAGCCCGATGTGGGGCTCGATCCCAGGATCCTGGGATGACCTGAGTCGAAGGCAGATGTTTAATGACTGAGCCACCCAGGCGCCCCGGCTGTTAGTTTTAAATAGAAAATATTTTACTTTTTTTCTACAGAGATTTTAGTTAAATATATATACTTAATTTGATTGTTCACCTATAATGGACTTCGGACAAAATATTTTGCACTTTTTAAAACAATAGTATCTTGTATATATTTATTTATCTTTGTAGAGATTAAAGAAGCTGCGCGTATCTTGTCAAGTGTTGATAATGGCAAGATTGGTATACCTAACTTGGAACGTGCCCTGGAAAGTTTGAATGTTAATTTGACTGAGGAGGACATCAGTGAAGCCCTTAAATGTTGTGACATCAGTGGTGAGCACTTTTTTGGTTTGAGATTCTTTTCATTTTTCCCTGTTTATGAGAAATAGTCTTAAAGCATATATATGTGGGTAAAATGCTAAGGGTAGTCACACTGGAGACTTAGGTTGATACAAATTAGAGCCAAAATAGTCTTCTAATTTAAATATTTATTGACCATATCTATCTGTTCATACTTATCTGGATATGTATGCTTGTTTAGATAATTACCATTCATTTCTTATAAGCATGGGTGGGAAAATACCATTGTGTTAAAACAGACATGATACCAGCTGCTTCATTTTGATATGCAGTCTTTCTTCAGAGGGGATCTACCTTCATCTGTCCTTTTATAGTACTTGTCTCATTCTGTTTTTTAACCAGAGGAAATACCCAAAGTTTCACTACATTTTAGAAGAACAATTATTTAGTTTTGGTCATTGTTTCCAAGTGGGCATATATTTATCTGTGTTTTCCATTTTTAACTTCATGTAATATGTACTTGATCTCCTTTCCTATTATATATTCACTCTTAAGTGTCAAATCATGTGGGAATACTTTTAGAAGCTGATGAGTTTCACTGGTTTTAGGTGGCTTTTTATTTGGGGCTTATCTTAACCAGCTTGTTTTTTCTATGGGAATCCCATGAGTCTGGATTTAAGAATACCTCCCCAGCACAGTTTGGTTATTGCCTTTGCCAGGTACCCTAGATTATTATTGACCTCAGTCAATTTATATGTTTTGACCTGGGGTTTCTCATATCATGAAAGCAGCATAAATTTAGACTCCAAACCCACAAGAGATGCAAGAGATTCTTCACAGGAGATTTTTTTTCCGCACTGCCTCTCAGAATTAGGAAGATTTAGGTCTCCTTGTTGTTTACCTGCGGCTGTGAATACAGTGTTTTAATCTCCCTTTCACTGGATTGAACTTCTTTAAGCATCCCAGTTTTTTTTAATTAACATATAATGTATTATTTGTTTCAGGGGTACAGGTCTGTGACTCATCAGTCTTATGCAATTCACAGCACTCACCATAGTACCCACCCTCCCCAATGTCCATCATCCAGCCACCCCATCCCTCTCACCCCCCTCCACTCCAGCAACTCTCGGTTTGTTTCCTGAGACTGAGTCTCTTATGGTTTGTCTCCCTCTCCGGTTTTGTCTTGTTTCATTTTTCCCTCCCTTCCCTATGATCCTCTGACTTGTTTCTCAAATTCCCCATATCAGTGAGATCATATGATAATTGTCTTTCTCTGATTGACTTATTTCGCTTAGCATAATACCCTCCAGTTCCATCCACGTCATTGCAAATGGCAAGATTTCAATTTTTTGATGGCTGCATAATATTCCATTGTATATATATACACCACATCTTCTTTATGCATTCATCTGTTGATGGACATCTTGGCTCTTTCCATAGTTTGGCTACTGTGGACATTGCTGCTATAGATTTCAGGGTATATATGCCCCTTTGGATCACTACATTTTATCTTTGGGGTAAATACCCAGTAGTGTAATTGCTGGGTCATAGGTAGCTCTATTTTCAACTTTTTGAGGAACTTCCATACTGTTTTCCAGAGTGGCTGCATCAGCTTGCATTCCCACCAACAGTGTAGGAGGGTTCCCCTTTCTCCACGTCCCTGCCAACATCTGTCGTTTCCTGACTTGTTAATTTTAGCCATTCTGACAGGTGTGAGGTGGTATCTCATTGAGGTTTTGATTTGGATTTCCCTGATGCCGAGCGATGTTGAACACTTTTTCATGTGTCTGTTGGCCATTTGGAAGTCTTCTTTGGAAAAATGTCTGTTCATGTCTTCTGCCCATTTCTTGATTGGATCATTTGTTCTTTGGGTGTTGAGTTTGGTAAGTTTTTAATAGATTTTGGATACTAGCCCTTTATCTGATATGTCATTTGCAAATATTTTCTCCCATTCTGTCAGTCGTCTTTTGGTTTTGTGGACTGTTTCTTTTGCTGTGCAAAAGCTTCTTACCTTGATGAAGTCCCAATAGTTCATTTTTGCCCTTGCTTCCCTTACCTTTGGTGATGTTTCTAGGAAGAAGTTGCTGCGGCTGAGGTCGAAGAGGTTGCTGCCTGTGTTCTCCTCTAGGATTTTGATGGACTCCTGTCTCACATTTAGGTCTTTCAACCATTTGGAGTCTATTTTTGTGTGTGGTGTAAGGAAATGGTCCAGTTTCATTCTTCTGCATGTGGCTGTCCAATTTGCCCAACACCATTTGTTGAAGAGACTGTGTTTTTTTCATTGGACATTCTTTCCTGCTTTGTCAAAGATGAGTTGACCATAGAGTTGAGGGTCCATTTCTGGGCTCTGTATTCTGTTCCATTGATCTATGTGTCTGTTTTTGTGCCAATACCATACTGTCTTGATGATGACAGCTTTGTAATAGAGCTGGAAGTCTGGAATTGTGATGCCGCCAGCTTTGCTTTTCTTTTTCAACATTCCTCTGGCTATTCGGAGTCTTTTCTGGTTCCATACAAATTTTAGGATTATTTGTTCCATTTCTTTGAAAAAGTTGTTGGTATTTTGATGGGGATTGCATTGAATGTGTAGATTGCTCTAGGTAGCATTGACATCTTCACAATATTTGTTCTTCAAATCCATGAGCATGAAATGTTTTTCCATTTCTTTGTGTCTTCCTCAATTTCTTTCATGAGTATTTTATAGTTTTCTGAGTACAGATCTTTGCCTCTTTGGTTAGATTTATTCCTAGTTATCTTATGGTTTTGGGTGCAGTTGTAAATGGGATCGACTCCTTAATTTCTCTTTCTTCTGTCTTGTTGTTGGTATATAGAAATGCAACTGATTTCTGTGCATTGATTTTATATCCTGCCCCTTTACTGAATTCCTGTATGAGTTCTAGCAGTTTTGGGGTGGAGTCTGTTGGGTTTTCCACATAAAGTATATCATCTGCAAAAAGTGAGAGTTTTACTTCTTCTTTGCTGATTCGGATGACTTTTATTTCTTTTTGTTGTTTGAATACTGAGGCTAGGGCTTCTAGTACTATGTTGAACAGCAGTGGTGACAGTGGACATCCCTGCTGTGTTCCTGACTGTAGAGGGAAAGCTCTCAGTTTTTCCCCATTGAGTATGATATTCGCTGTGGGTTTTTCATAGATGGCTCTTATGATATTGAGGTATGTACTCTCTATCCTTACACTGTGAAGAGTTTTAATCAAGAAAGGATGCTGTACTTTGTCAAATGCTTTTTCTGCATCTATTGAGAGGATCATCGGTTCTTTTTTTTTAATAATTTTTTATTGTTATGTTAATCACCATACATTACATCATTAGTTTTTGATGTAGTGTTCCATGATTCATTGTTTGTACATAACACCCAGTGCTCCACGCAGAATGTGCCCTCTTTAATACCCATCACCAGGCTAACCCATCCCCCCACCCCCCTCCCCTCTCGAACCCTCAGTTTGTTTTTCAGAGTCCATCGTCTCTAGTGGTTTGTCTCCCCCTCCGACTTACTCCCCTTCATTCTTCCCCTCCTGCTATCTTCTTTTTTTTCTTAACATATATTGCATTATTTGTTTCAGAAGTACAGATCCGTGATTCATCAGTCTTGTACAATTCACAGTGCTCACCATAGCACATACCCTACCCAATGTCTATCACCCAGCCACCCAATCCCTCCCACCCCCCACCACTCCAGCAACCCTCAGTTTGTTTCCTGAGATTAAGAATTCCTCATATCAGTGAGGTCATATGATACATGTCTTTCTCTGATTGACTTATTTCACTCAGCATAACACCCTCCAGTTCCATCCATGTCATTGCAAATGGCAAGATCTCATTCCTTTTGATGGCTGAGGATCATAGGTTCTTGTTCTTTCTTTTATTAATGTGTTGTATCACATTGATTGATTTGCAAAGCATCCCAGTTTTATTTGGTATCTAAATTCAAACTCTCCATGTAGCATGGACCCAAGTTTTCTTTTATGAATATGCATGAGCATTTAAATCAAGCACCTTGCCACTTTGGGTTCTGATATGTATCCCCAAATAGCTGTAGGCTCACTCTTTTCTACTCTTGATCTCTGTGCCCACTTAACTTATTATTATTTACTTTTCCTATAACTTAGTCATGCATTTATAGAATATTGTAGTTCATACAGCATCTCTAGGGATTTGTAGTGTGATGATTTCTGTGCTATCCAGCTTGCCATTTTGTTGTAAGTTAAAGTCTCCTTAATGTAGTTGATAGCTGTATATTTTCTGCTGCGGTAACATTACTGTGTCTTACTTCAAGTGTGTGTGTGTCCTAATAGTTAACCTCTGGCCTGAGGCTACCTCAGTTCAATACCACATCCTCTAGCACTTTCTGGCTTTTGTGACCTAGACAAGTTATTTAATTTCTCTTTGCTTTCATCTTTTAAAGATATCAAGCATACCCATGTTATAGAATTATTGTAAAGATTTTGGTTAATAAATGTAAAGCATCATAAAAGGATCCTTAGTATGTATAAGGAACTGAAAAGTTATGTAAGTTTTTTTCTTTTTTTATGTTCAATTAGACAACATATAGTAGAACTAAAAAAAATTAGCTATTGAGATCATTAACTGTTCAATGGATAGTTTCTAAAAGTATGAAAAATTATATTGAAACAGTTTCAGTCATTTGAGATAGAAAATAAGGTAGAATGGAATTTTAGGTGTTTTAAGTTAGAACATTTATTTTATGTACAAATTCACAGTATCAGGTTTTTAATGTCAGCATGCTTGATTTTGACTTTACAGATAATAAGGAGGTGAATTTAAAAGATTTCTTTGAAAGAATTAAAGAAAGTCCACACTTCAAAGAGTCCATAGGTAAGTGAATACTACTAGTTCAAAGAAAAATGCCTGTAAAATAAAGATATGAAATCATATTAAAAAATCAATATCTGTATTTCAAGTTTTTACTCTGTAGTCTCTATAGTTTTAAAAAGGATTTTAAGCAGCTTATAAAGTAGAAATAATATAGCAATATAAAATGGGGAAATGGGACAAAGTTTTAATGGAGGGAAAAGAAATAAAACAGAGTTGAAGAAGATACATAGTAAACACCTTTGCTGTTATTACAAAGTCCTTCTTCAAGAGGAGGTAAGTTTTTCTTCATTCAAGGGGTTCTGGATCTATGAAGGAAATCCAGTCTGGAAATCAAGTGAGGGATCACTACTCTCTGTTGTGTCATCTCAGGTTAGGCCTCTGGAGTTTTCAGGTCTCCTCAGCTGGACTGCCCATCTATTTCATTTATGGAAATCTTAACTTCAACTAATCGGTTTCTCTAAATCCTCGTGGTATTGATCCCCATATCATTCTTATTGCCATATCATCTCTGTTGCCTAACCACATCATTTTGCCCCTGCTGTATAAAGACTGTTGCTTGGTCTTTGTCCCCGAAGTTCCTCTCGTTCTCCTTAAAATTAGGGAGGTATTGAAATTTCAATACCGACATCTTTTCCTAACCCCTACATCTACAGGGAACACCTACAAAGAACTCTCCACAGATGCAGACACACCTGTCATAATGTATTTCGCAATGCTTTGGTGAAACAAATGTCTTTTCTTTTTTATATTTTAATATCTCTAAAATTAGAACACCTTTATTATTGATGGCATTATTTATTAGATGTACATTTTTATTGAGATATTCACATACCATAAAATCCATCCTTTTTAATTGTACAGTTCAGTGGGTTTTGGCATATTCACAAAGTTGTGCAACCAGCACACTCTAATTCTGGGACATTTTCATTGCCTCGAAAAGAACCCTGTAGTCTTTAGTAGTTATTTCCACCTCTCCCTGGCCACTGACAACCACTAATCTACTTTCTGTCTATATTGATTTGCCTATTATGAATGTTTCATATAACTGGAATCCTATTACATGTGACTTTTGTGTCTGAGTTCTTTCATTTAGCATACTGTTTTCAAGATTCATTTGTATTATAGCATAAATGAGTACTTCATTCCTTTTTGTGGTGGAATAATACTCTATTATATGATTATACCACATTTTCTTCAGCCATTTATCAGTTCATAGACATTTGGGTTGTTTCCATTTTGGGGCTATTATCAATAATACTGCTATGAATATTTGTATACTTTTTTTGAATACAGGTTTTTGTGTGGACGTATATTTTCATTTCTCTTGGGTATATACCTGGGAATGGAATTGCTGAGTCATAGGATAACTTTATGTTCAACTTGAGGAACTGCTGGAGTGTTTTCCGAAGGAGCTGCCCCATTTTACATTCTCACAAGCAATGTACATTTCTTTATATCCTTGTCAACACTTGTTATTGTCTTTTTTATTAGAGACTAGTCTAACAAGGATCTCACCATGATTTTGTTTCGCATTTACTTGGTGGCTAATGATGTTGAACATCTTTTCATGTGTTTGTTGGTGTATCTTCTTTGGAGACATGTATCCTTTGCTTATTTTAAAATTGAGTTATTTGTCAAGTTGTAAGAGTTGATATATTCTGGATACTACACCTTTATCAGAGACATGATTTGCAAATCTTTTCTTCCATTTCAAGGGTCTTTTTTCTTTCTTGATGGTGTCCTTTGAAGCAATCACCATACATTACATCATTAGTTTTTGATGTAGTGTTCCATGATTCATTGTTTGCGTATAACACTCAGTGCTCCATTCAGTATGTGCCCTCTTTAATACCCATCACCAGGCTAACCCATCCCCCCCACCCTTTCAACTTTTTGGGGAACCTCCATACTGTTTTCCAGAGTGGCTGTACCAGCTTGCATTCCCACCAATAGTGTAGGAGGGTTCCCCTTTCTCCCCATCCCCGCCAACGTCTGTCGTTTCCTGACTTGTTAATTTTAGCCATTCCGACTAGTGTGAGGTGGTATCTCATTTAGGTTTTGATTTGGATTCCCCTGATGCTGAGTGATGTTGAGCACTTTTTCATGTGTTTGTTGGCCATTTGGATGTCTTCTTTGGAAAAATGTCTGTTCATGTCTTCTGCCCATTTCTTGATTGGATCATTTGTTCTTTGGGTGTTGAGTTTGATAAGTTCTTTATACATTTTGGATACTAGCCCTTTATCTGATATGTCATTGCAAATATCTTCTCCCATTCTGTCGGTTGTCTTTTGGTTTTGTGGACTGTTTCTTTTGCTGTGCAAAAGCTTTTTATCTTGATGAAGTCCCAAAAGTTCATTTTTGCCCTTGCTTCCCTTGCCTTTGGCGATGTTTCTAGGAAGAAGTTGCTGCAGCTGAGGTCGAAGAGGTTGCTGCCTGTGTTCTCCTCTAGGATTTTGATGGACTCCTGTCTCACATTTAGGTCTTTCAACCATTTGGAGTCTATTTTTGTGTGTGGTGTAAGGAAATGGTCCAGTTTCATTCTTCTGCATGTGGCTGTCCAATTTTCCCAACACCTTTTGTTGAAGAGACTGTCTTTTTGCCATTGGACATTCTTTCCTGCTTTGTCAAAGATTAGTTGACCATAGAGTTGAGGGTCCATTTCTGGGCTCTCGATTTTGTTCCATTGATCTATGTGTCTGTTTCTGTGCCATACCATACTGTCTTGATGATGACAGCTTTGTAATAGAGCTGGAAGTCCAGAATTGTGATGCCACTGGCTTTGCTTTTCTTTTTCAAGATTCCTCTGTCTATTCGGGGTCTTTTCTGGTTCTATACAAATTTTAGGATTATTTGTTCCATTTCTTTGAAAAAGTTGTTGGTATTTTGATAGGGATTGCATTAAATGTATAGATTGCTCTAGGTAGCATTGACATCTTCACAATATTTGTTCTTCCAGTCCATGAGCATGGAATGTTTTTCCGTTTCTTTGTGTCTTCCTCAATTTCTTTCATGAGTATTTTATAGTTTTCTGAGTACAGATCCTTTGCCTCTTTGGTTAGATTTATTCCTAGTTATCTTCTGGTTTTGGGTGCAGTTGTAAATGGGATCGACTCCTTAATTTCTCTTTCTTCTGTCTTGTTGTTGGTGTATAGAAATGCCACTGATTTCAGCACAGTTTTTAAGTTGGGTGAAATCCAATTTATATTTTCTTTTGTCACTTCTTTTGATGTCACATCTAAAGATAATCCAAGATCATGAAGATTTATACTAATGTTTTCTTCTAAGAGTTTTATAGTTTTAGCCTTTTAATTTCAGTGTTTGAGTTAATGTTTGTATGTAGTGTGAGATGGGAGTCCACTTTAATTCTTCTGCATGCAGATATTCAGTTATCCCAGCATCATTTGTTGACAAGATTATACTTTCCTCATTAAAGGGTTTTGGCACCCTTGTCAAAAATCAATTGATCGTAAGTGTATGGATTTATTTCTAGACTCTCAATTCCATTCCATTGATTTTTATTTATTCTTATTCCAGTACCACATGGTCATGATTACTACAGCTTTGTGGTAAAGAAATAACCTAAGCAATAATCTTTAACCAGAGCAGGGCATCAGAATTACATGTAAGCTTGATCCACCTGGTTCTACTTCTGGGCTATGATGGAGTAGCTTCTATCAAACCAACCCTCCTGCTGAGAATAACTAGTAATATCTGGACTAAATTAAACAGCATCAACAACCACAACTGTTTGAAGGCATTGGAAAGCAACCAAAGCTGTCAGGGTTTATGGGGCTATAAGATAAATAGAAAGAGCATGACTTGTAGCTGCAACAGCAGCTGCTGCTGCTTCTTCTCTGTTTTGTCTCTGTAACATAACTTTAAGTGAAATAATGCAAATTTTGATGTAAACTCATTTGTAATGCTTCACAGTTATTTCAGAGGCCACATATGAAGTATTATGTAGCCAAAGGCAGAAAGGTTGACCACTTACATATGTCAACTTGAAAGGCACATTAGTTAAGAGCATGGGTTTTGGAACTATGGTGCTTGAACTTGAATCCTGGCCCTGCCACTTACTACCAACACATTCTTTAGTAAATCACTTAACCTCAGTTTCTTCATCTGAAAAACAGGGATAATAATGCCTATCCTGGAATTGTAATAAGGCTTAAATATGTAAAGTAGAAGTACTTAGAACAGTCTGTAGCACTTAGTAAGTTTTCAGTAATGCTAGCTATTATAATACATAATGGTTTTTAAAACTATACTGGTAGTTTCATGTAAAATTCTTTTATGTTGGCGCACTGGGTGACTCAGTCAGTGGGACATCTGCCTTCAGCTCAGGTGATGATCCCGGGGTCCTGGGATCAAGCCCTGCATTGGGATCCCTGCTCAGTGGGGAGCCTGCTTCTCCCTCTCCCTTTGCCTCATCCCTCCCCGCCCCAGCTCTCTTGTGCATGCACTCTCGCACTCTCTCTCAAATAAAATCTTTAAAAAAAAAAAAACAAAATAAAATTCTTTTATGCAACCCAAGCTTTTTAAGTGAAAGTGAATAATATACTCTTATTTCTGCTGTTGAAATATTTGTTTTTGCTCTTTTTTTGCAGCTACACAGCTACTCTTAGCTACTACCCAAATTCTCCAGAATGATCTAATTGATGCCTCTGAACTCAAAGCATTATTGATGAACAATGACTTTTATGCAGCTAATGTTTTACTTAATGAAGTATTAAGACATGAACCTGAACCTGGTGAGTAGTTTGAATGCATCTGTGTTATAAAGGCCATCATCTACCAGTGGGGGTGGGAGATGTATGGATGGGATACACAGCAATGGAAGGCATCCTATGGGAGCTGCAGTGGGATGACTGGGGAACATCACTGCTGCCCTGGTGTGCCAAGCCTGGGCCCTGTGAAACCAAACGGAGTAAGTCAGGGCCTACCTTATACCTGTAGGTGGCAGTACTTGGGACATGAGGTTACTTTGAACTGACTGGCATGGATAGTACTCAGTCAGAATGCCATGCACAGAATACAAGAGTCCTTGAGGCCCTTTGCCAGGTATCAGCCCTTTGGAAGGTAAACTATGCTGATATCCAGGAATACCTCTGGGGGTATTGCATGTGGTGTTGGCTCAGGGACACAGATATTTATAAATGTACAAAATAATTTCATTATTTTAATGACTGATATTGTTGAATATTATCTTTGCTCTATTTTCAAAAGAGATGGAGAGTAGTCTTTATTTTTCTATTCTCTGTAAGAGATTCCTCAGATGTTAAGTAGAACCCACAGGTGAAGCCTAATGGGCCTAGAGATTTATTTATGGGAAAGTTCTGGATTATTGATTTAATTTCTTAAATTGTATGGGATTACAAAGAAAATATTATATTTTCTTGTTAATATTGGCAGGCTCTATTTTTATAGGAATTTGTCCATTTCATCTGACTTTTTAAATTTACTGGATAAAGTTGTCCTTGACCTCACTTTTTATCTTTTTTGATGTCTGCCTGATCTGTAATAATATCTTCATTTTTATTCTCGGTATTAGTGATTTGGAGCTTTTTTTTTTCACTCAGTCTCCACAGAATTTTTCTTTTCCTTTTTGTAAAATTGAGATACAGTGGATATAGAATATTTTGTAAGTTTAGGGTATATATTGTGTTGATTTGATACATATATATTGTAATATGATTATCACCATAGTGTTAGCTAACACCTCTATCACATCACATAATTATAATTTCTTTTTTGTGGTGAGAACATTTAAGGTCTAGTCTCTTAGCAACTTTCAAGTATATAATACAGTATTAGGTCAGCACAGCATTAAATTTCCAGAACTTACTCATCTTCCAACTGCAAATTTGTACCTTTAACAACATCTCCCCAACTCAACGCACTCCCCAAGTTGCTGGTAATGACCATTCTACTCTGTTTCTATGAGACTGGCTTTTTTAGATTCCACTTGGTGATATATACAGTATTTGTCCTTGTCTGGCTTATCTCCTCTAAGCATAATGCCCTCGAGACCTATCCATGTTGTTGCAAATGGCAGAATTTCCTTCTTTCTCATGGTGGAATAATATTCCGTTGTATATATATATATATATATATATATATATATATATATATATATGCTACATCTGTTTATTCATCTGTTGATGGACACTTAGGTTGTTTCCATATCTTGGCTTTTGTGAATAATGCTGCAAAATACATAGGAGTGTAGATATCTCTTAAAGATCTTTTTTCATTTCCTTTACACGTATACCCATAAGGGGGATTGATGGATCATATGGTAGTTCTATTTTTAATTTTGGGGCAAGCCTCCATACTGTTATCCATAGTGGCCGCATCAATTTCCATTGCCATCAACAGTGTATGAGGGTTCCCTTTCCCCACATCCATGCAAACCTTCATCTCTTGTCTTCTTGATGATGGCCACTCTAACAGGTGTGAATGATATCTCATTGTTGTTTTGATTTGCATTTCCCTGATGATTAGTGATGTCGAACACCTTTTCATGTACCTGTTCGCCATTTGGATGTCTTCTTTGGAAAAAAAAAGTCTATTCAGTTACTCTGCCCATTTTTTTCATCATTTTGTTTGCTTGTTTGTTTGTTATTGAACTGTGTGAATTATATATTTTGGATACTAACTATTTATCAGATTTGTGGTTTGCAAATATTTTCTCTCATTCTGTAGGTTGCCTTTCCATTTTGCTGATTTTTTTTTTCTGTACAAAAGCTTTTAAGTTGGATGTAGTCCCACTTGTTGATTTTTGCTTTTGTTGTTTGTGTTTTGGTGTCATGTTCAAAAAATCATTGCCAAGACTGGTGTCTGAAAGCTGCTTCCTTATATTTTCTTCTAGGAATTTTACAATATCAGATCTTACATTTAAGTCTTTAATCCATTTTGAGGTAACTTTTTTGTGAGTGGTATAAGATGGAGCCCTAATTTCATTTTTCTGGATATAGTTATCCAGTTTCCCAACACCATTTATTGAAGAGACAATCCTTTCTCCATTAAATGTTCTTGGCTCCCTTGTCAAATATTAGTTGAGTCTATGTGGGGGTTTATTTCTGGACTCTGGACATTTTTGTTCTTTTTTACCACCCCACAGCCCGTGAACATTTAACACCACAGATAAATATTTGCTGATGTACTGTGGCCACAAACCATTGTAATAGCTAAGATTTTTTTCTCCTCCTCTAAGAACTGGTTTTCCTCCTTGAAAGCCTGTTGCTCTCCATGAGAATGTATGTCTTGAAAGTATCTAGAACTTTAATTTCTAGATATACTGCTAAATCCTACTTTCTAGTATTTTACTTAGACTTTAACATTTGTAAGGAATATTGGTCTATAGCCTCTTACCCTACCCATGATATGTTTTTGTTTGTTTGTTTGTTTTTGGGTTTTTTTGTAGTTTGGGGGCAAGTAAGAACTACTGAAGGGTTTTATTCAGAGGAGTAACCAGATTTTTTTTTTTTAAAGAGAAAGACCTCTCTTGCTGCATTGCAGAAAATAAATGTAGAGAAATGAGACTAATGGCATAGAGTTTTAACAATGCTGTTGTAATAGCACAGGCATTAACTAGCATAGGGATATATTCAAGAAGTACCTGGAAATAATTAAATGGAAATTGGTAATCATATGTATGCAGAAGTTAAGGAAGAAGGAATAGTATAGGCTGACTCCTAGGCTTTTCACTTTTATTATAATTTGACTATTAGCTTCTGACATATTAATTCAGAATCAGTAACTCTTTCAGCCAAACTTTACTTTGCATTACAGAAAATGGCAAGATTACCATTCAAGAATTTTTAACTAAGTTCTGCAATACATTGAGAATTCCTAAAGTCACAGGTAAGTTTTACTTAATATGTATCCACTGCCTATATCGGGAAGGACAGGCAGTGGTTTTCATGTTAAGACAACACAGGAATAGATAGTTAAAACACAGGTAAGTAAGAAACAATATGAAGATAAAACAATACAATATTGGGTTATATAATTTTTGTCCAGATTATATGACAAAGACTGCTAAGCTTACCCCAAACTCAGAATTGTAGGTAGTTTTACTCTAGTAGTGCTAGAAAATTACTAGATTATATGTTATTCTCTGAGATTATTCTCTAGGTATACCTGACCTAAATTTATTGGAAAGTTATAAATGATTAGAAAATAATTTTTAAAACTTTTGAAAAACCTAGCAAAGTGGATTTTATGCCTGTCTTTTTTGTTTTGAATATATCCTCAGCCACTCTCTTGACTACATTGTTTTAGAGCAAATTTATGTTTATTACACTGTAACTTACATATAGTAAAATCACCTGTTTTTAGGCATACAGTTCTTTGAATTCTTGAAAATAATGTCATGTAACCATTACTAAACAGCACATAGAATTTATCACCCCAAACATTCCTTTATGTCTTTGTATAGTCCGTCGCCTCCCTGAACCCTCATTCCTGGTAACCACAGATCTGTTCTTTGACTCTATAAAGTTTTGCCTTTTCTAGAATGTCACATAAATGAAATCATAACATATGAAGCTCATTTGAGTCTGGTTTCTTTCACGTAGCATATTATACTTTATATTCATTAACCTTTTGCATGTAATTTGTTTCATTTTGTTGATGAGTATTATTCCATTATATGAATGTACAATTTATCCATTTACCAATTGATAGACTATTGAATTGTTTCTGGGTTTTGGTGATTATGAATGAAGCTTCTAAACATTTATGTACAGGTTTTTGTGTGTACGTATATTTTCATATCTCTTAGTTGAATACCAAGAAGTCGGATTGCTGGGATACACGGTAAGTGTATATTTAAATTGATGGAAACTTCCAAATATGATTTTATGATAGATAACACCCATTTATGATAAAAACTCTCAACAAAGTGGGTATAGAGAGAACATATATCAACATAATGAAGGCCATATATGACAAGGCCACAACTAACATCATACTCAATGGTGAAAAACTGGAAGCTTTTCTTCTAAGATCGGGAACAACACAAGGATGCCCGTTCTTGTCACTTTTTAGTTTTGTTTTGTTTATTGAAGTACAGTTAACATGCAGTGTTGTATTATTTTAAGGGGTACATCATAGTGATTCAACAATTCTTTGTATTACTTAGTTCTGCTCATGGTAAGTGTAGTTACCATCTGTCACCACAAAATGGTATTACAGTATTATTGACTATTCCCTATGCTGTAATTTTTCTCACCACTTTTATTCAGCTTTTATTCATAGTATTAGAAGTCCTACTGAGAACAATTAGACAAAAAAAAAAGAAAGAAAAGGCATCCAAATTGGAAAGAAAGAAGTAAAACTGTTACTATTTGCAGATAATATGACATTATATATAGAAAACTCTAAAGGCCCTACCAAAAAAACTTAGAACTAATAAACAAATTCCATAAAGTTGTAGAATATAAAAACAATATAGAAAAACCAGTTGCATTCTATTCACTAATAAACTATCAGAAAAAGAAATTAAGAAAGCTATCCCATTATAATTACACCAAAAAGAATAAATTTAACCAAGGAGGTGAAAGACCTGTACACTGAAAACTATAAGACACTGACAAAAGAAATTGAAGATGACACAAACAAATGGAAAGATATTCCATGCTCAGGGATTGGAAAGACAAATATCGTTAAAATATCCATACTACCCAAAGCAATCTACACACTCATTGTAATCCCTATCAAAATTCCAATGGCATTTTTCACAAACCTAGAACAAATAATCCTAAAATTTGTATGGAACCACAGAAGACCCTGAATAGCCAAAGCAATCTTGAGAAAGAACAAAGCTAAAGCCATTCTACTTTCTGATTTCAAACTTTATTACAAAGCCATAGTAATAAAACTTATATGGTATTGGCATAAAAACAGACACATAGATCAATGGAACAGAGCAGAGAGTGCAGAAATAAGCCCTTGCATATTTGGTCATTTGTTCATGACAGAGCAGCCAAGAATATACAATTGGACAGGACAGACTCTTTGATAAATGGTTTTGGGAAAACTGGACAGCTCTATGCAAAAGAATGAAACTGGACTGCTATCTTAGACTATGCACAAAAATTAGCTCAAAATGGATTAAAGACTTGCATATAAGCCCTGAAACCACAAAACTTCTAGAAGAAAACATAGGCAGTAAGCTCTTTGACATTGGTCTTTGAAAACATTTTAAAAACCCCAAATTGTGTCTATCAATACAATACCATAGGTAAAGTCAAAGAACAAAGAACAGAATGGGAGAAACTATTTGCAATGTATATCACAGAAGAAATATAGAAAAGCGGGCAAAAGTCATGGATATACAAGTCATAAAAAAGATGTAAAATGGCCCATGAACATATTAAAAGATGTGCGATTTTACTCATAATATGAAATATGCAAACTAAAATAGAGATGCAATTTCTCACCCATTAGACTGACAAAAACTGAAAACCTTAACAACATATTCTGTTTGTCAGGTTGTAGGGAAAAAGGCATTTATCTATAACTCATGAGCGTGTAAAATACTACCATTCTGGAGGGAATTTGTCAATGTCTAACAAAACTATGTATACATTTACCTTTTGACTCAGCAATTCCACTTCTAGGAATTTTCCCTGAAGATACCCGGCACCAGTGTGTAAATACAGATGCATAAAATTATTCATTACAGAATTATTTGAAATTGCAAAATTATGGAAAATACTTAAAGTGTAAACATTGGAGATTAGTTAAATAAACTATAGCTTCTATATTGTACAACTATAAAAAGGAATTAAAAAAATTAAAAAAAAAAGAATTTTATACCAGTACTTTTTATACCACTGATTTTATGCCTTTCCAACATTTAAAGCTACAGATTTCCCTCTGAGCACTTTCATTGCTCTCACAAAATTTTATATGTTATGCTTTGATAATAACTTATTTAAAATATTTTCTAATTTACCTTGTGATAGCTTTTTGAAATATGAGTTGTTTAGAAATGTACTATTTAATTTCCAAATATTTGGACAATTTCTAGGTATCTTGTTACTGGTTTCTTTTTTTTTTATTTTTTATTGTTATGTTAATCACCATACATTACATCATTAGTTCTTGATGGAGTGTTCCATGATTCATTGTTTGTGCATAACACCCAGTGCTCCACGCAGAACGTGCCCTCCTTAATACCCATCACCAGGCTAACCCATCCCCCCACCCCCCTCCCCTCTAGAACCCTCAGTTTGTTTTTCAGAGTCCATCGTCTTGTTACTGGTTTCTAATTTAATAACCTTTGCCAGAGAATTTATTTTGCACAATTTAAAAGCTTTTAAATTGATTAGATTTGTTTTAAAGACTAGCATGTGGTCTATTTAGGTGAATATTCCATGTGCACTTGAAAGGACGTATATTCTGTAGTTGTCGGATAGTGTTCTATAAATATCCATTAGGTTAGATTGTTTGCTAGTTTGATTGAATATTCTAATTCTTACTGATGTTTATTCTACTTGTTTTATTAATTACTAAGTGCAAGGTGTTCAAATCTGCAGCTCTGATTGTGGGCTCATCTATTCTTCCCTTTAATTCTTTAAGTTTTTGCTTACAAGAAAGCTCTTGTTAGATGTACACATTTGGTATTGCAAAATTTATATATATGACCTTATGTAATGTACTTTGTCTATTGCTCTCTTTTGTCTTATTTTTGTTGCTCCTTTGTTCCTTTCCCCCAATTTCCTTATTTACATTTATACATTTATGTGTACTTGTTGTCACCTATCTTATTTTATTTAAATGTTTATTTATTTATTTATTTAAATATTTAAAATAAAGCTTTTAATTGATATTGCTAAATTATTTTACAGAAACTTTATCAAATTATCTGTAGGCAATATATGAAAATAATTATTCTTGGTGCACTTAAATATTTCACATTATAATTATCCATCTCTCTGTTTAGTTCTTTCAGTTTTTGTAATACATGTTTTTCAGACTCTCTCATTAAGTACATACAAATTTAGAACTGTTATGTTCATCTCATGGATTAAAATGTCATAATGAAATGTTTCTCTTTATCTCCTAAAATTCCTCTTCACATAATGTCTACTTTGTCATATTTGTATAGCTACACTGCTCTCTTTTGTTTAGTGTCTATCTATTATATCTCTCTTTTTGGGGGGGGTTTCTTTTTTTTAAATTTAAATTCAATTAATTAATATATAATATATTATTAGTTTCAGAGGTAGAGGTCAGTGATTCATGAGTCTTTTTTTTTCATCCAACAAGAAGCCATAACTTTATTAATGTTAGAAACAGTACAAATTTCAAAACAAGCTGCAGTTATTCTTTTTGAAACACCAAAAAATTCCTCATTTTCAGATGGTTTACATTGTTAATTCCATAATAGCATTTACAATATCATTACCGTTGTTCTTCAGGGCTCGGACTGCCTTTGCTCTCGACACATTTGCTTGTGACATGACCAGTTCTATGTCCTTAACCTCTACACCGGTTTCATCAACCTCTTCCTCTTCACTCTCTTCTTGCACAGTTGGAGTCTGTGTGTTTCCTTGAATGTTTGAGACAGCTTCACCTTGAACTTTGAATTTCTCAGCAGCTGCTAGTTGTGCTTGCTGAGATAAATCCTCGATCTTGGCTTCCCCTAAAACTATGTAGGTATCTGAAGCTGGGTTCTTGTAGACATCTGGTTTTGTGATAACAAAGAGGATATTCTTAGATTTCCAGATAGTGACTCTTATAACCTCTGTAACCTGTCGAAGACCCAGTTTGGACATAGCCTTCTGTGCCTTCTTTTCACTCCGGCTCTGTTTTGCTTTACTGACTGGTTCTTCATCAATTTCAGTGGCTGCTGCCAGCTGGGCTTGTTGTGTGGTTGCCTGTGTGGAATCCTGTTCCTCAGGCTCTGGTACTGAGTTATCACTGTCAGATTCTGTTCCAGACCCTGTCTCAGCCTGGGGCTGTGGCAACTCCTGTTCTGTAGCAGGGACGGTTTCTGTGGCTTTACCAGGCATTTTGTGAGGGGAATGCGGAACCAAGATGGTGGCAGAAAGAGCTGATTCATCAGTCTTATAGAAGAGTATTTAGCCCAAAGATGCAAATGTAGGGATCCAAAGGGGCACCTGCACCCCAATGTTTATAGCAGCAATGTCCACAATAGCCAAACTATGGAAAGAGCCTAGATGTCCATCAACAAATGAATGGATAAAGAAGATGTGGTGTGTGTGTGTGTATACATATACACACGTGGTGGCTGGGTGATGGACATTGGGGAGGGTATGTGCTTTGGTGAGCACTGTGAATTGTGTAAGACTCATGAGTCACAGACCTGTATCCCTGAAACAAATAATTTATAAGAAAAAAAAGAATACCCAGTGCTCATTACATCACGTGCCCTCCTTAATGTCCGTCACCTGGCTACCCCATCTCCCTACCCTCTTCCCCTCCAGCAACCCTCAGTTTGTTTCCTATGATTAAGTCTCTTATGGTTTGTCTCCCTCTCTGATTTTATCTTGTTTTATTTTCCCCCTTCCCCTACGCTCCTCTGTTTTGTTTCTTAAATTCCACATATGAGTATCATCACCTATTTTAAATTATTTTAGGAACAGAGCAGTCCATAGATAAATACAAATACTGTCTTTTAAGTATAATTTTATATATTGGAATAATTTTTCCCACTTATCTTTAAAACATAAAGGGGAAACATGAAAAGTCCTCTCTAATTGGAGATGATTATCTCTTCTCAGGAGATAAAAGTCAATTTTACAATATCAACATTCACAAAAATGAAATTACAGCCATTCCTGACCTTCAGCAAAATTTAAATGTCATCGGAATCTATCTAACAGATGATAAAATAAAGGAGGCTTTGGATAATACTAATCCTATTGGTGAGTAATTATTTTAATTTAAAATAGCAAAGCTTGAGTATTTCAGAAGTTTCACCCTATATGCCTAAGAAGATATATCCCCTTTATATCTTTTTCTTTAAATTTTATTGTTATGTTAATCACCATACATTACATCATTAGTTTTTGATGTAGTGTTCCAAGATTCATTGTTTGTGTATAACACCCAGTCCTCCATGCAGAATGTGCCCTCTTTAATACCCATTACCAGGCTAACCCATTCTCCCACCCCTCTCCCCTCTAGAACCCTCAGTTTATTTTTCAGAGTCCATATTAAAAATGTATTTTCTTTTCTTTCGATTGATGGGTTTGTATTAAAGGAATTGATTTTCAGAGTATATCTCCAACAGCTTTATTTCAGGTCTAATCTGCATATCATTTACATCACAGTAGGACTGCCAGTCCTCCCTGTTATTTTTGTGTTTATAGCTCTGGTTTTATAACATCAAATGGTCTTCTTTACAAGAATATCTAAATTCTTTCTCTTTTTCTTTAAAAAAAAAGATGAAGTGGTGAATTTTAAGGATTTTATCAGAGCATTGAACAACAGTGATGAATCTATCGAGTGCCAAAGTAAGTATGGAATTTGAAATGAATATGAACAGAAACTTCATTTTTTTTTTGGTTGGTGTATATATAGGTATGTGTGTGTATAAATTATATGTATATATTTTTTAAAATATTTAATTTATTTATTTATTAGAAAGAGACAACACAAGCAGGGGGAGTAGCAGGTAGAGGGAGAAGCAGGCTCCCCGCTGAGCAAGGAGCCCGATGCAACACTCGATCCCAGGGCCCTGGGATCATGACCTGAGCTGAAGGCAGACACTTAACCGACTGAACCACCCAGGAGTTCCTAAATTATATATATTTTATATATACTCTACCAAGCCCCTTTTCCCCCCATTTTCTCATTTAAACATAGTTGATGTGTATATTTTTTAAAGTCTAGGTTTTCAAACATGTGAACGCAAAATTTTCATATACTTTTTTAGAAAGATTTATTTATTTGAGAGAGAGTCGGGGGGAGGGGGAGAGGAAGTCAATCTTTGAAGCAGACTCCCCACTGAGCATGGAGCCCCACTCAGGGCTCCATCCCATGACCCTGAGATCATGACCTGAGTCAAAATCAAGAGTTGGACACTTAACTGACAGAGCTACCCATGAGCCCCTTGAATTATTTTAAAAATCTCTGTTATCTGTGTTTCTTCCTTTTCGTGTGTTTTATTGCTCTGTTCTCTCTTTTTTCTTTATCAATGCTGACAGGTTTATCCATTTTATTATCAAAGTAATCAGATTTTGGTTTTTTAATCACCTCTCGTGACTTTGCTCTCTTCTTTTCTTTCTTATTTCCTCATTTTATTATTATTATTATTTTTACATTTACGCTCTAGTTTTTGTCAAAAACTTTAGCTAAATGGTTAACTTTTTTCAGTCACAGTTCTATCATGGAGATACTGAAATAGCCTTGGACCACAGACATTGAGATTGAGAATTATAGTCCTCACACTGGGGTTTTAAAATGAGTATTAAAATCAGTGGATTCTTTCTAAATTAATCTGCACTTTGAATGCATTTGCACTCACTATCTCAGGATAGGTGGGAACCTTGACAAAATAATTTTATATTTTTTGGAAGATTATAGGTCTATGAATAGCTAAGACCCTTTTGAAAAAATAATGAAGAGGAACTTCTTTATCAGATATTATTACATATTATAATGCTACTTTAATATAGTGTTACAAATAGACTGGTGCATCATAATATAGACCAACAGAGACTTCTATTAATAAGAACTTGGAATGTGATTGAGATGACATCATTAGTCAGTGGGGGAAAAGATATTTAGTATATGATTTGAGAAAATTGACTTACTCTGTGGGAGAAAACAGAGTAGAATCCCTACTTCATACCATATACAAAAATAACCTTCAAGAATCAAGTGGAGATGAAAATGGATCTCAAAGGTAAAGCTAGACAGCTGATGGAAGAAAATGTAAGAAAAAATATTGTGCCTTATGGTCGTGGATACCTTCTTAAAAATACTACTCCCCCAAAGCACAACCATAGGGTGAAAAAGGATGTAATTACATCAAAATTAAGGATTTCTTGTAAATGAAGGACTCTAAAATATATAACAGACTGGAAGAAGACAATCACAAGATAATTAACAAAAGATTAATATCTCAAAATATAAGGAAATTCCACAAATCAGCAGTAGAAAGAAAAATCAATTGAAAAAATAAGTAAGGATCTAAGAAGTCAGTACAGGAGGTGAAACCCAAATAGCTAAATATGTTTATAAAGAGAGTTGGAAATACTCACAAATTGCTGGTGAGTAGGTAAAATGGTACAGCATTCCAGATTGCAACCTAGCAGTACTTATCAAATAAGTATGCATGTTTCTTATGGCCCAGTAAATCTGTTTTTAGATAAATAGCCCAGAGAAGTTTCTCGTAGAGACATGTACAAGGGTGCTCCCTGCAACACTATGGGAGGATAGAAATGAAAGCAACGTAGGCGTCCATCATTAGGGAAACGGTTGACTAAAACATGGTTCATACATATAACACATCATAACAATAACTAGATTTACATTTGTACCAGAGAGAGACCTCAATAATAATATGATTCCATGAAGAAAGGAAAAAATAGAATAAATGAACACCGCACCCTTTATGTAAATTAGATTTCTACTAATGCCTGTAAGACAACACTGTATTTATATATTTTTTCAGGTGAACACATAATTCTATTATTTATTTATTTATTTATTTATTTTTATTTTATTTTATTTTTTATTAACATATAATGTATTATTTTTTTCAGGGGTACAGTTCTGTGATTCGTCAGTCTTACACAATTAGTGCTCACCATAGCACATACCCTCCCCAATGTCCATTACGCAGCCACCCCATCCCTCCCACCCCCTTCCACTCCAGCAACCCTCAGTTTGTTTCCTGAGATTAAGAGTCTCTTATGGTTTGTCTCCCTCTCCGGTTTTTTCTTGTTTCATTTTTCCCTCCCTTCCCCTATGATCCTCTGTCTTGTTTCTCACATAATTCTAAATAGAAAGATGAGAGATTAATTGAAAGAAATTGAGAAAGAGATTGAGATTGAAGTGACAATATTAATAAACTTGACTTAAGAAACAGATTATATAGTACTTTGTATCCTAAAAACTTAGAATACACATTCTTTTCAAATGCTTATGGAATAATCACAAAAATAGATGATGTATTTAAGTCACAGAGAAAAATTTCAATGAATTCTAAAAATCAGAAGTCATTCAGAACACATAGTCTGACCATCATGTAGTAACATTAAAATTACTTTTAATTTGGAAGTTAAAAGAATTTGCAATATTACTTTTAATTTGGAAATTAAAAGAATTTGGAATGAGAATATGGAAAAATGTTGCTTTTAAGACTAAAAACAAATGGTCTTCTAAGTAATTCTTTGGTTGAAGAATAAATGAAACCTGAAAGTAAGAATTTTTAGAAATGATGACATTCAAAGCACTACATATCAAAACAATGTAAAGTGTGACCAAAACAATCTTACAGGATATTTTATAGTATCAAATGCTTTTATTAGAAAACAAGAAAGACAAACCATGAGAGACTCTGGACTCCGAGAAAAAAACTGAGGGTTACAGAGGGGAGGGGGGTGGGGGGATAGGGCAACCAGGTGATGGGTATTAAGGAGGGCACGTGTTGTGATGAGCACTTGGTGTTATACACAACTATTGAATCCTTGAACACTACATCAGAAACTAATGGTGTACTATATGCTGGCTAAGTGAACATAATAAAAAGAAAAGAAACATTGAAAATAATTTTTCTTAAATGTTCAACTCATGAAGCTTACCAGCAACATAAACAACAAAACAGCAAAAACAATCCCCCCAAAAAGTATTAGTCAGGAGCTAATAAAGTTGAAGGTAGAACTTAGTGAAATAGAACACACACACACACACAAAAGAAATTATCCATATAACCAAAACTTTGTTCTTTCCAAAGATTAATAGAGAATGCTTTAGGAAATATGATGAAGGGGAAAAAATAGGACATAAAAAAGAAGACCATCATAACTTGGATACAAAGGAGATTAAAATATATAAGTGAATAATAAAACTAAGCTAATAAAGCACCGAACCATTGGCATCTTATCAACAACACTGTCATTCTTTCCAAACATTTGGATGAAGACCGAAGGGCTGCTTCCTCCCCCACCCCCCACCCCGACAATAATGGCACTGTTTTCTTTGGGATCTTTTTGATATTTTGTTGTTTTTGTTTAGCTTCATGAGTTGAACTAATATAGTAAAATATTTCAGTATTTCTTGTTTTTTTTTAAGATTTTATTTATTTATTTGAGAGAGAGCGTGTAAGAGTGCACAAGCAGGGGGAGCAGCAGAGGGAGAGGGAGAAGCAGGCTCCCCACTGAGCAGGGAGCTAGATGAGGAGCAGTGTTTCTTGTTTTATAATATAAGCATTTAAACCTATAAATTATGTGGAGCTCTCAGTTTGGAGAATATTTCAGAGAGGCAAAACCCTCAAGACTGTGTTTTCAAGAAAATGAATACATTTCACCCAAATCAAGTTGTGAAGTGCTTATCTGGATAGACCGACCAACTAAATATCTTTACGTTTTGTCACTCCTCTATATAGAAATAGAAGATGCATCTAACATTGTTAATAGTGTCTTTGATGGGAAAGTTGAAGTTAAAGACCTTTTATCTGCCTTGGGGAGTCTGGAGAAACTTTTAAGTAAAGAAAAACCTGAGGCGTTACTGAACTGTGCAACAGACGGTAAGTACTTGAGTTACCTCACAGGTTTCCTGTTTAGAGTATACATGTTCACACAAGGTAATTTTTTTTTAAGAATAATAATACTGTATGCTTAGGAAGGTTGTTATAGAAATAATGTTTATATATTGGTCACTGTGAACTGTTAGAACCCTTTTGGAAAGTGTATGGATATTCTTTATTTGGAGAAGACAAATAGAAGCAAATAGTCTTATTATCCATGTTTTAAAACCAGATACTCCTTTATTAGATTATGATGGTCACAATAATAAATATGATGGAGTCCTGCTCTTCCATTTCCCCAACCCTGGATTCCAGAGATAGGGTAATTCTTACAAACAGAGTTCCACCAATAAATGTAATATTTACTGTGGTATTTTCATAAATGCTGTTCACCGGACTGAGGAAATAGCCTTCTATTCCTTTCTTGCTAAAGGATAGAATTTATATTTATTTGGTTTATCATGAATTTCCCAAACAATTTTTATGCATCTGTTTAGATAGCTCATAGGAGTTTTTCTTGTAATCTGTGAGTGTGGTGAATTATATTGAATTTTTAAATATTAAATTAAACCTAAAATTTTGGAAAAACCCATTTTGGTCATGATATATTATCCTTTTTACATATTGCTGGGTTCATTTTTCTAATACTTAGTTTACGATTTCTACATCTCTGTGAGTAAGACTAACCTGGTATTTTCTCATTCTACTATTGTCAGGCTTCAGTGTCAGATTATCCTCATAATTTGAAAAGTATTTTCTCTTTTTTCTAAATTTGGAATAGTTTGGGTAACATTGGAATTGCATATTCTTTTCATGTCTCGTGGTATTTACCAACACAGTCGTTTGAGCCTTGATACTTCTTTTTGGGTAGGTTTTTAATTACTCATTCATCTTCTTTCATGCCATAGGATTACTTAGGTTTTCTTTTTATTCTTGAGTCAAACTTTGCTGTTTGTTTTTTTCAAAGAGGTTGTCCTTTTCATATGAAAAATTATTGCTATAGTGCTATTAACTTTTTAACAATAAGCGCTTAGTAGTTTTGTAATATTTGCAGCATTTGTGGTAATGTTCCCATCTTATTCCTCATATTGGTTCTTTTTTCTTTTTAGATCATCTATGCTAATGGTTTGTCAATTTTAATAACTCAATTAATTCTCAGCTTTCTGATCCTCTCTATTGTGTGTTTGTTGACTATTTCCTCAATTTTTGTTTTTATCTTTATCACTTTCTTCTCCACAATTTAAGCTTATTTTGTGACATTTTAATATATATTTCATATATATATTATGAAATGACCTCAATAAGTCTAGTTAATATCTATCACCATACATAGTTACAAAAATTTTTTTCTTGTGTTAAGAAATTTTAAGATTTGCTCTCTTAGCAATCTTCAAATATGCAATACAGTATTATTAACTATATTTTTTAGATATATATTTTCCATTCTTTTGATTTCACTCTTCCTGTATTCCTATCCTTCTGAAGAAAAAAAAGATAAATTTGGAACCATGTGAGGGGAAACTAAAATTTGAAAAAAAGAAACAGGACTTCTAGAAATTAAAAAAGTAGCAATTAAAATTAATTAGTGGACAGTAATGTCAGCAGATTAAACATAGGTGAAGAAATATGAACTGCAAAATAGTTTGAAGAAATGATAGAAACTGTAGCATAGAAAGAGAAATAGAATACAAGAAAGAGGCTTAGAGGAAGGCAGAATGAAAAGGCTACTTATTCCAGTAATTGGTTTAAAATATATATGTATATCAGATTATAATGTTATATACTTTATACTTATATTATAATTAATATAATGTTATATGTCAATTATATCTCAGTAAAGCTAAAAAAAGAAAAACTGAAAAGACATGATATATATCCATTCAGGGGAGAAGAGACAGAATGGTTGCAGAGAAAATATTTGGAGAACTATAGCTGAGAATTTTCTAGAATGAGAAAGACCTAAGCCTACCAATTCAAGAAGTCCAGTGAATCCCACATAGGATGAAAGGAAATCCATACATACATAGGTTTATCATGATGAAACTGCAGCCTACCAGAAGGAAAGAAAATCTTAAAGGTAGCTAGAGAGGGCGCCTGGGTGGCTCAGTTGATTAAACAACTGCCCTTGGCTCAGGTCATGATCCTGGAGTCCTGGGATCAAGTCCCGCATCAGGCTCCCTGCTTAGTAGGGAGTCTGCTTCTCCCTCTGACCTTCTTCCCTCTTGTGCTCTCTATCTCTCTCTCATTCTCTCTCTCTCAAATAAATAAATAAAATCTTTAAAAAAGAGGTAGATAGAGAGAAAAGTCAAATTATCTATAAAGGAGGAACTTTTTCGTATTCTTGATATTTTCTCTGGGTATTGAAATCTAGAGAAACATTTTTGTAAGTTGAGGATAAACCCCCCAGTTTGGGAGAAACCTAGGCTTTGTCTGACCTTTGAAAATACAAACTAAAATTCGTTCAATGTTGCTTTGTTTTTGTTTTGTCTTTGGCAAATACTCTGGGTGAAAAACTGTTGCCGTGTTTCTGGGGTACAACCTTCCATCAGTTGTTTGGCCTGGAAATTTCTTACTTTCTTGGCAGCAAATTGATGGATTTAAGATCATTTTAAAGCAATAATTTTACTTAGAATTTTTACTTGTTTTTACTAGGAGGGTTGATCCAGATATCTAGGCTGGTTCATTACTGGCACCCTCTCCCATTTCAAGGTCATACTATAATGTAGGAGATAGAGGAAGAGCTTTTAAAACTCCCTTGCGCTGTATTTCTACTGACACCTAGTGGATGGAGCCTGTGGTGATCCTGCATCTGTGGGGAAGGGATAAGGGAATAGGGTGCTCCCACAGGGCAATTCTCATTCTTTCCCATCAGACTTCCATTCTCTCTCTCCCTCAGCTCTCCCATTCCCTCCCTCTCTTTCTTTCTCTCTCTTTGCCTCAGGAGAAATTCTTCCTCTCTATTTAGGCATTTGGTATATTTTCATCAACAACTCTAGGTTTCTGCAAGCAGTCTCTACAAAAACTTTTAATCTACAAAAATCTCAGGAGTGAGGAAATACTTAAGGCAAACTGCTTAGAACAGGAAAGATGCGGGATGCCTGGGTGGCTTAGTTGGTGAAGCATCTGCCTTCGGCTCAGGTCGTGGTCTCAGAGATCCGGCTTCCTGCTCATCGGGGAGCCTGCTTCTCCCTCTGCCTGCTCTGCCTGCCGCTCCCCCTGCTTGTGTTTGTGCTCTCTCTCTCTCTCTGACAAATAAATAAATAAAATCTTAAAAAAAAAAAAGAACAGGAAAGATGGGTCAAATTATCCACCACTTCAAGAGGCACAGTGCAAAAGCTCCAATTTGCTCTTTAAACAAATTACAATAAGCTTCCAGAGAAGCGTAACTTTTGAAGCAGACCAGAGTCAGCTAACTCAAATATCTGCAGTAGCCAGGCACATAATGCAAATTAACAAAATGAATTGGGTATAAGACAAAAGGAAGGGATGTGGACTGTAGGATAACTTGAGAGCACATGTCCTATATTAAGATAGTTAAATTCAAATGAAAAGAAAACCCTAACACTCCCTAAGACAATGAACACGACTGAATTTCAGCTATATTCAGTCTGTGAGCCTGTGATCCCTGAAGCAGGCTTCTGTAGGAGAGGGAAAAGTCTTTTCCTTCTACCCTTCTAGGTTCTCAGCTAGAGCTCTGTAACAAAAGACAGAGACAAGAGAAAAGCATACAAATTTAATATAAACTTTACATGAAAGGGGAGCATACATAAGGAAACGAAGACCCAAAGAAGTGGTTAAGTAGAAAATGGTGGAAAATGTGATAGGGCAAAATGATATGAGCTAAGGGTGGTAAACTGGGGGAAATTTAACAAGGCCTGTTCATTCAGTTTCCTCTGGGTGTCCTTCCAACCCTCAGTCTTCAGAGATAAGGATGCTCCTTTCCTGTGGGTGGTATAGCAGAGCATCTCTCACACGAGAGTCTTATGATCTGCTTCAGGGAGGATGGGGAAGTCTGAATCCTAACTGCACCTTCCATTTCTCAAATTTATTCAGCTTAAAATATTCAATATGCTAGGGTACAATGTTTTGGGGGTAGTATGTCCTGAACCCTGTCCTCCAAAGAATAAGAAATATTTATGTGTGATATTATGGATAATTCAGAAGAAATCAAAATTCAGCTATTAGGTTTTGTAAGGGTTTTTACTTACTTGGAAAGATTAATAATTTTATATATTTTCTTTTATGTATAGTTTTTGCTTGTTCACTTCAGGGTTAAATTAGGGAGTGGTGACAGTAAAAACAAGTTGAATTTCTCTTTTCTCACCAAACAGAACTTTCTTCCAAAGGAATTTTTTTTTAATTCTTTCTCTTCCTTTGCTGTCTTTGTGTATAAATCATCTCTGCAGGGAGTGGCTCTATGCATTCATACTCGTTATAGGTGTGCATATATTTTGTACTGTATAACCTGTTTGTAATTTTTATAAACCATGGGTCACAATACTGGGTTGTGAAATAAATTTGTGAAATAAATTTACTAAGCCCTGAATAGCATTTTAAAATGAAATGGAATAAGGTGGAATTTGTTGGAAGATATCAGCATGCATCACATATGATAAGGGTAAGTATTGTTTTATAAAACATTTATTTCTATGCGTGTGTGTATTTGTGTGTGAGCACGCATGTTCACAATCTAAATGTTTTTCTTACTATGCATTATAGTCATAGAAGTTTGAAAACTGAATGAAATTATATTAAAGCAATACCAGATCCCTGCCTTAATGAGGTTGAAATCTATTTAAACCCTATTTTATTTAACTTTGCAGAAAATAAAAAGACTGTAAAAGATATAATTGATGTTTTCACTAATTCATCGAAACCATCAACACCATTCAACAGTAAGTTTAGTAAAAGAATGGAAATTAAAAATAAATTTCTAAGATCATTCTGTGATATTCTTTTTCTAAAGTATAGTTTGTTTTGCCCTGTGCTTTTAATTCCTTAAGTTTTCTTTGCTTTATTGCGGTGTTATAATCTGCTTTCTTATTCCTTATCATATTCAATCTATACTTTGACTATAATGAATTATTTAGAATCACATGCTTGAATATGCTTCCGTAAAGCAGTTTTTCTCAGTATATGCTTCAGTGTAAGGTATCCCATGAATCTAATACAATTTTCTCTCACCTCTAATAAATTCCACGTGCTTCTTTATCTCACCTATAGTGAAACATTGTAAGAGAAAGTACAAAGAAAACAAGATCTAGCGCATCTAAAACTACTAGGTAGACGGTAAGAAAGAGAGGCTCTCTAATCCTAGGATTGGATGTGACTACGTGTTTTTCAGGCTATAGCAGATTTATATTTTCATTTTTCTTTCTCCAACTACCTGCATTCTATTTCTGCTAGCTGACCTCATTCTAAGAGCCATTACCTAGCTGTGCTTGAAATGCTTAGAGTCTATGAAAGACTGGAGCACATAGTAGTTTTTACCTTTGAGGGGAAATAATAAATAAAAGCAAATTTTTACAAAAATTTTGCAGAAGTTCAACTTTTAGCTGGCAAGGGGTATATTAAATTTTGCTTGTTGTTTAAGTGGCATCTGAAAACAAAGCCCATTGATATGTTTGAAAGCCCTTTAATTCAGAATAACTTTTGTAATACACCTACTCTCTGCAGGTCAGGGTGTTAAGTCTAAGAAAGGTCTTTTGCCCCAGCTTCCTCATTTGTTCTCTATTCTTCATATATTTACAGATTTATTTAAAGAGATTACAACTCTTGATAAGATCAGAAATGATAAGATGCCTGCAAATGAACTGAGCTTCCAACTCTTGAGTGCAGGAATTCTACTAAGCAACAAGACATTCCAGGAGATTCTGGGTCAAGCATCTATTGATGGTGAGCCCTTTTTGAAAGAACAATCTATGTTGAGCTTAATGAAGTCCTAGTTCTACTGTGAGCTTAGGAAATTTGTTTTATATATGCATAGTTTAGATAAACTAGGTCTTAGAAACATAATGAGAACATAGGCATACTGAGAACTAATTAAAAATTAGTATTTTTCTCTTGGAAATTTTATTTATTTAGTTATTCATTCATTCATTTTTAAGTAAGCTCCACACCCAGTGTGGAGCCCAATGCAGAGCTTGAACTCACGACCCTGAGATCAAGACATGAGCTGAGATCAAGAGTCAGATGCTTTGGGCGCCTGGGTGGCTCAGATGGTTAAGTGTCTGCCTTCAACTCAGGTCGTGATCCCAGAGTCCTGGGATCGAGCCCGGCATTGGGCTCCCTGATCCGCGGGAAGACTGCTTTTCCCTCTCCCACTCCCTCCGCTTGTGTTTCCTTTTTCGCTGTGTCTCTTTCTGTCAAATAAATAAATAAAATCTTAAAAAAAAAAAAAAGTCAGATGCTTAACTAACTGAACCATCCAGGCACCCCTTCTCTTGGAAATATTTTGAAGAGGCTCCCTCTGTTTATCTGGCATCATATTTGTAAAATGTATACATCAAAATTTAATTAAGACAAATAGTACAATTAGAAATTTTTTCTCGTTTTAAGGGAACAGATTCTTGGTAAAACTATTTTAAATTGATGAGTTTTTATCTAGCTAATTTTCAAAAATTAACAAAATTTGCCCATCCCCCATTTCCTGTCATGGTTATTTTAACGGTTATAAATATTGACACTTAGCCATTTTATAATCCTTATACTTTACTTTTTAGAAAATAGTGAAGTAAGTCTGAAACAAATTTTGGAGGCTTTGAACACAAATAAGCCAGCTCCTGAATTTGAAGGTGGGTCAATCAATATTTCATTTTAAATATTTGTCATAGTTTCCATTACCTTTTGTCATTATTATTTTTAAACAGTGTTGTGAGGTATAAATGATATACGAAAGCTGTATGTTTTTATAATTAAAGTTCACGGTTTGGTGAGTTTTGATATATGCACACACCTATAAAACTACCATCATAATCAAGGTAATGAACACATCCCTCACCCCCAAAACTTCCTCATGCTCCTTTGTAATCTCTCCTGTCATTTCCTATCTTCTTCCTCGTCCTCGGGCAAACCCTGGTATGCTTTTTGTCAGTATAGATTCATTTGCATGTACCAGAATTTTATAAAATGGATATATTCTTTTTTTGCTGGATGCTTTCATTCAGCATAATTATTTTGAGCTTCATCCATGTAGCATGTATCAGTAAGTCATTCTTATTTATTACTGGATAGCACTCCATTTTATTGATATACTACAGTTTATCTATTACCTGGTGATACACATTAGGCTATTTCTAGTTTGGAGCTCTTACAAATAAGACTGCTATGAACAATTGTGTATGTCATTGTATGAACATACGCTTTCATTTCTCTTGAGTAGTTACCAAAGCTTGGCTAGCTCGTATGGTAGGTGTATGTTTAACTTTTTATTTTTATTTTTTTTTAAGATTTTATTTATTTATTTGACAGAGAGAGACAGTGAGAGAGGGAACACAAGCAGGGGGAGTGGGAGAGGGAGAAGCAGGCTTCCCGCTGAGCAGGGAGCCCGATGTGGGGCTCGATCCCAGGACCCCGGGATCATGACCTGAGCCGAAGGCAGATGCCCAATGACTGAGCCACCCAGGCGCCCCTATATTTAACTTTTTAAGAAACTGCAAACTGGTTCCAAAGTGGCCACACTATTTTACATTTCCACCAGCAGTGAATGAGAGTTCCAATTCCTCCAAATCCTTGCCAATACTTGGTATAGTCAGTCTTTCTAATTTTAATCATTCTAGTAAGTGTGGAGTGGTATCTCATTGTGGTTTTAATTTGCATTTCCTTAATGACTAATGATGTTGAACATCTTCTCATGTGCTTATTTGCCATCTGTATATCTTCTTTGTAAAGTGTCTGTTCAGATCTTTGCTCATTTTTAAAGTTGGGTTGTTTGTTTTTGTATTTCTGTATGTACCTGTCCTTTATCAGAAATACACTTAGCAAAATATTTTCTCTGAGTCTTATACTGAGCAAAATTTTCTGAGTCTCTTCATTTTCTTAAGTGTCTTTAAAAGAGCATTAATTTTAATTTTGATGAAGTTTAATCAATTTTTTTCTTTTTTGTATTGTGCTTTTGCTGTCACACGTATGAAATCTTTGCCTCCCCCAAAGTTACAAAGGTTTTATTGTATGTTTTCTTCTAAAAGTTTTATGGGTTTTGGTTTTGCATTTTAGGTGTATGATCTATTTTTATATATAGATCATATATATAATCTATATATAAAGCTTTAATCTTTATATATAGAATAAAGTATGGATCAAAGTTTCTTTTTGTTTCATTTTATTTTGCATATGGACATTCATTTGTTCCAGCATGGTTGGTTGTTGAAAAGATTATACTTTCTCTGTATTTTCTATACTGAATTTCCTTTGTACTTTTGTAGAAAATTGTCTATATTTGTATATATATTTCCTGGATTCTCTATTCTGTTCCATTGATCTTTGTCATTTTGTCAGTCTTTACACTGATACCACATTGTTTCATTACTGTAGCTTGATAATAAACATTGAAAGCACTCAGGTAGTATCAGTCCTCCAACTTTGTTCTAGTTTAAAAAAAGTTCTTTTGGCTATTTTAGGTCTTTTCCATTGCCATGTGAATTTTAGAATCAGTTTGTAATTTCTACAAAAAAAGTCTGCTGGAATTTATTGGAGAAATTAAAGGCCCTCATGAATTAAGATCTGTTGGAAAATTTCTTGTCTAATAATGTCTTATTAAAAAGTACAACACTTCTCTGCAATTCCTTTGTGTGCCTCTACTTTGTCTCCTTTTAAATATTCCCCCAGATAAACTAGAGATTATAATCCAAACAGTGACCTTGAGTGTATGATGATTTGTGTAACTCATTGATAAATAGAGGCATGGCTCTAATCCTAAGGACCCCATTTAGAGGGGAAAACTCCTAGAGGTTTGGATAAGACCTGGGAAGAATGCAGAGTGCTTCAGCCTGAAAGAACCTCCAACATTTTTATTTTCTTTGTGGAAAAACCCTTACATCTATTACCTGTAATCTTGAAACTCTTCAATTCATATTTCATCTACAGATTTTGTAGCATTTAATTCTCGTACGTTTGGGTTAAAAAGTAAAGGCCACTTCCACTTTCAGGCACAATATATTCCTGAAAACCTTAATCCTCCCATACTTCTGGGGAGACTTCTAATAATAGAGTAAAAGTTATGAGGAATAAGCAAAAAATGAAAGGAGCAGCAAAATATGTAAGTAGAAGAAAATTCAGGACTAATATTTTTATACTCTGAAATTTGAGCTGTTTCATATACACAGAGAAAAGCCCCAAATTCCCTCTCACTGATACAAAATTAAACATTTCCCTAGGAGATGTAATAATGGCCTATTTTAACTTTAAAAAAACTGATAGTTTTATTCAGTTAAATAAAAAAACCTCAGTCATCCTAATTTTTTTATATTAAGACAAAAATAACTGAACATCTCAGGGAAATATGCCTGGAATAAAGGAATATTTGGCTTATTAATTTTGGAATCATAGAGTTAATATTAGTTGAGATATATGACTTACAGAATCCTCATGTGTTTTCAGATTTATCTACTGCCCTCCAGACTGTCAGCTTGATGGACTGCAACAAAATTCAAATTAACAACTTGCAAGATGCTTTTGATGACCTCAATGTTTCTGTAAAGCCTGAAGAATACCAGATGTTAGAGAAAACACTTGATGTTGATGGTATATATAATAAGTTGGCTTTCCAAATAAAGGGACAGTAAATTTTCCATTCCCCTTCCCTGTCCTCCATTCATCGCTCCCCAACAATTTTTTTCTTTATTATCCTAATGGAAAAAAACACTCTAACAGAGCAGTTCTATTGAGATCATAAATTTATCTTGATAGAAAAATCTTTGAATAAGATTAATAAGATTTTAAAAACCCCATCAAGTATTCTATGTTGATTCCACCAGAGTGTAATTTGTATGTATGTTTTTAGCATCTACTATGTAAATCAGGGAAGATGAAATAATTCTCTGTGAAGGTTGTGCTAAAGTAAAACTGCTTTTAGCCAGGAATAGACTAAGGGAAGACTTTCTCCCCTTGGCGTGAGATATTTATGGCAGGAGATAGATTGAACGTGAATCCTAAGAGCTTTCAGAGAAAACAATATATAATTTTCAAATTTTGCCAATTATTATGTGGTTTTTAAAAATTTAAAATCAATTCCTGAAAGTATTTTCTTTTTTAGAGTACTAAATGGGGCCACTGCACAGCACAACTTCTGGGGGCATGTTGTCATCTGTGTCAACAGCACCCTTTGACGTTAGGCAATGCATGGCCTGCATCGCTATGCAACAGACCTGATCCCAAGTGCCTGTTATATGAGGTGTCATGTAATATGTAATGTAATCAAATAAATACAAAGTATTCATATTTAGGAAACTTTCGGTCTAGTTGGTGAGGCAAGCTATAAACAACAAAAGGGTATATAACAATATAGGAGATAAAAGCTCAGTGCATTTGCAATGTTACATGGCAGTGCTTTAATAATAGCCAGGGAAACAGTGATGTGATACTGTGATTTGTAATAAGAAATATGTATTTGGTCTTCGACCCCATTCCTGGCATAGAGCTCCTAAAACACCTGTAAATTCTTAAGTGATGAGACCACTAGGGGTATCTTTTGTTCTAATAGGCAATTCTGGGTGGGCATCTTGTTCCTAGGTGGTGACTGGTCACCAAAAAGATAAGCCATGCTTAGAACCTTGGAATTTTTAGCTCTACCCCCAGTCTCCAGAGAAGGGAGAGGGGCTGGAAATGGAGTGAATCATTGATCATGCCTATGTGAGGAAGCCTCCATAAAATCCCAATAGTTCAGAGAGCTTCCAGGTTGGTGAACACATCCACATACTGGGAAAGTAACTCACCTCAACTCCACAGGGACAGAGCTGCTATTCCTGGGACCCTCCCAGATCTCCCAGACCCTATGTATCTCTTCATCTGGCTGTTCATAAGTACTTTATCATATCCTTTAATAAACTGGTAAACATTAAATGTTTCTCTGAGTTCTGTGAACTATTCTAGCAAATAAGTGAATCCATAGGGGAGAAAGTCATGGAAACCTCCGATTTGTAGCCAAGTTGGACATAAGTTGTGGGTAATCTGGGGATCTACTACTTGTGATTGGCATCTGAAGTGGGAAGAAGGACAGTCTCATGGGACTGATCCCTTAACTTGTGGGACCTGATGCCATTTCCAGGTAGATAGTGTCAGAATTGAGTTAAATTATAGGATGCTCAGTTGGTGTTGCAGAGAATTGCTTGGTGGGGGAAAACAACCCTCCATATCTGGTGTCAGAGTGTTGTGAGTATGGTAGTAGAATAAGAGTAATGAGAGGAGAACAATTTCATTCATTCAATGAAAGTTTATTAAGCACCTATTGCTTGTTAGGCACTAAATATATAGAGATAAAAGAGCTTACAGTCTATTGAGATGACAAGCAATGAGAATACCAATTGTTAAATATGGTGACAGAGGTAAACATAGAGTGTTATGGGAATGTATACAATAGGTACCTAACCCACACAGGGTTGGATTGGGTAGTCAGAAGAGGCTTTTGGAGGACATACTGTTGGAGTTGAGGTTTTTTTTTTTAATTTTTTTAAAGATTTTATTTATTTATTTGAGAGAGGGAGAGCAAGCTTGAAAGAGAGAGAGAACCAGCAGAAGGAGAGGGAGAAGTAGGCTCCCCACTGAGCAGGGGGCCTGATGCGGGGCTTGATCCTAGGACCCTGGGGTCATGACCTGAGCTGAGGGCAGACACTTAACTGACTGAGCCACCCAGGCACCCCTGGAGTTGGGATTTAAAATATGAGTAGGAGCTACCCCAGAATTGAGAGTGCAGGGAAAACGACTGGAAGGAGTTAGGAAGGAATGTTCAGTATGTACAAATATAGAAGAACAAAGCTTGAGGAGAAGTCAAAGAACTCTTAAATAGTCCAGTAGGTTTTATACCAGTGGATCTCAGACTGATTCACATCTGAACTACCTGAGGAATTTGTTAAAAACACAGATGCTTACATCTCTTGCTTCAGATTTCTGCATCATGGCCAAAGTGTGTGTGTGTGTGTGTGTGTGTGTGTGTGTGTGTGTGTGTGTGTGCATGTGTGTGTTTAACAAGCTTTACAGTTCATGTTGATGTGAATCAAAGTTTGATCATCGACTTGGTGGTGCATAGTGGCAGAAGGAGTGAGGCCTTATAGTCAAGAGCAGATCCACTAGGGTGTTTTTTTTCCCTCGGGGCAACAGAGTTTGAATTTTATCCTGAAGGCTCTAGAGGGTCACTGAAGAATTCAAAGTTGAAAGATGACGTGACTAATTTTGCACTTTATAATAAGCATTCTGATAGCATTAAGAAAGGGCAGAGGAGGGCAAGTTTGGAGGCAAAGAGACATTTTAGAAGGCATTCAGTAATTCAGGTTAAAAATAATGTTGAAGTAAGGCATTGGCTCTAGGGATGGGAAGAAGGGAACAGATATGAGTTCTAGGAGGCAGAACTTCATCATTGTTTGGTTAAGTTAGGGAGGGGAGAGGAATCGAGGATGACTAACAGATTTTTGGCTTGGGGGACATTTCCTGGTGATGCCTCTTAATAAGCTGGGGAATACAGGAGGAGAATCAGGCTTTAGTGCAAGGGTGAGTTCAGCTTAGGATATAGTGTGTTTGATGAAGGGCATGATGGAGGGAAGAGATTGAAATGAGAATAGATAAATCTAAATTCCTTCTCAAATTACAGGGCTTTTTTTTTAAAATCTAGTTCCTGTTACCTGACCTGTTTAGATTAACCTTTTCCCACAAACTTTCTTACACATTTTTTGTAAGGTGTCAAGACACTTAATAAACACAATAGAATAATTTAAATCTAAAATTAAGAAACTACTTATAGTTCCCAGAACACATCATACTCACTTATATTTCTATATATTTTCTTCATCAGTCTTTCTGTTAACCTTCAGATATACTGCCAAGTCAGTAAAAATGTGACTTCCTTGAAGATTTCTTTAACTCTATTCAGCCAGATATGGAAGCTTTTTTCTTGCATTTCAATAACATGCCATATTTACCATCATTGAGACAATTTTGCTTTATAACTGCTTGAGAAAAGTGATTATTTTGGAGAAATTTCCATGAGAGTTATGAGGAAAGGATATATTTTGAAAATCTGCAAATATAGGCATTTGGTTACTGATGAAAAATGAATGCTTAAACTGTAAGCAAATTTAAAGTATTCTGTTGGGAGAACAGGGTAAATATATAAAGTCGCAATACAATGTGAGGTAGGTGGAAAGATCAAACAAGAAGCCTATGTTCTTGTTGGGTTTCCACTTCTTACTTTGACCTAAGTCATATTCATCTCACTTATTTTTCAGGTTCTTCCAGCTAATGGGAAAAATATAGGTGTTTGCATATTTCTGAATGCACAATATATGCATCTTTGCTTTAAAAAAACTTATTAGGAACTACATTTACTGGATAGGTGGTCATTTATAAAGTTTGCCATCTAGATGCAATTTCAAGTTTCTTTTTTTAGTTGTTTAAAAAGTAAGATGTTGTTAGACAAATATTCATTATCTCACATTAAAACTGATGTTTCAAAAAACACTCAGATATTCTTTTAATCAATTAATGTGTGATAATTAATTCCTTTCAGAAGTATTATATAAAACCCAGAATAACCGTTTAAACTGAGATTTAGGGGGGTTTGATTTATAATAAATTAGATTTTGTTTTAAGAAGAAGATGTAAATTAATCTAATTATTGCTTGCCTTAATTTTGCCTCATCTTAATTCTTCATTCTTTTATTTGAATTTTATGCTTTATTATTTTGTGTTTGACTCTTCTGTCTTCAATATAAAGCAATAAATCGGTAAAGAAAATTGAGAAAATAAGTAAGAGAATGTCATAATGATTTGTAAAAATATTAGTCAATACTTTTATATATCAAATGCATCCAATTATTCCTAATTCTTGTTTCTATACACCCATTGTGCAAGCTGACACTAGACACTTCAAACTAGGTTCATACTCAGAGTCCATGAAAACTTGGAACAGTATTCATTAGAGAATGATGTAAACACAACTGTCAAAACCATAGAAAGTTGTCCTCTCTCTTTTCTTACAACTTTTTAAGATATGAAGGTAAAAGAAAATGCAATTAGAATAATCCACTAAGAGTTTTATTTGCCACCTGCCATTCTCTGAATTCTTGCTGATAAAAGTGAGTTTTTAACGTGCAGATCTTCCTTGATAGACTGGAATTAGGGAAGGTTCCCTCTAAAGTGAGTGCTGCTCCAGCTGCCACATGGTGATAATAAAGAACCAATCAAATCAAAGTTTGGCAATATGGAAGTAAAAAATGCATTTGATCTGTCCCAAAGATTTGTTATTTGCATAGAAATAACATCATTAACTCATTTGTGTTTTAAATCCCCCCCAAAAGGATATATTGTGTTTGAGAGGCTTGTGGACATAGAGTTGAAGATGTGCAATAGACAGTGGTCTAGCCTAGAAATAGAAACTTGAGAGTTATCAACATACACTTTGTATTTACAGGAGAATTCAGGAATGGCTTATATAGTGTGATGAGAAGAGGGCCAAGGATAAAGCACTGGCACATGCTAACATTTAAGTAATGGTAGAGAAAGAATAGTTCACAAGGACATTAAGAATTAGCTAGAATGGTGGGAGGGAAACCAAAAGAAAGCTATAGCAACAAAGCAAAGAGAAAAAAAGAGCTTGAAGGAGGAAAGTATTAAATAAGACCAAAAAATTAAAAAGTGCTCATTAGTTTGGCAATAAATAGTATTTTTTTAAGATTTTATTTGTTTATTTGTTTATTTATTTGAAAGAGTGAAAATGAGAGAGAGAGAGAGAGAGAGAGAGAGCACATGAGAGGGGGTAGGGTCAGAGAGAGAAGCAGACTCCCCGCTGAGCAGGGAGCCTGATGCGGGACTCGATCCCAGGACTCCAGGATCATGACCTGAGCCGAAGACAGTCACTTAACCAACTGAACCACTCAGGTGCCCCAGCAATAAATAGTCAATGGGTGAACTTGGTAAAAGTGGTTTCCAGGAGATGGAAGCCAGATTAGAGCAGTTTGAAGTGTGAATGAAGATGTGATGAATAAAAACATTTCTTTCCAGAAAATAGATTGTGAAGGAAAGGAAAAAGAAAGAGTAGCATTTAGCGGGGTATCATAGAGGCGCAAGGGAAGGCTTTTTAGAAAACTAGACTTACAAGCTGGTTTTGACATATAAATAGGATTTATATAGGTAGAGTGTAGATTGCATTCTGGACAAAAGTTTACATCCTAGAAAAATCATAAGATGCTTTAAGGGGACAGTAAGTGAACCAACCTAGCTCACAGTGGAAGTGCTTTGTTTCTTGAATTTATTAATTTTTCTTTGTATTATTTTTGTCTTTACAGAAAAGGGAGATGTTTCCCTAAAGACTGCCCTTTTAGCATTGAAGAGCAATAAGCGTTTGCAAGATTTTAGAGGTGAGAATAATTAGGAAGTTTTATACACATTGAGAATATCAGAAATTTTTAGCTAGTTGTCGAAAAGTGATGGACCACTTACATAAAAGGATAACTCATATGCTACAAGACTGAATGGTGTACATTTAGTATTTTAAGAGTTCAGATGAAGGTGAGTTTCCTATGTTCATGAAAGTCTAGTTTTTAATATTATAAGTTTGTAGTTGAAGAAAATGATATGTCTTCTAACAAGAATGCCAAAAATAAGTGACCCTAAAATGTTTTAATTAATAAATTTAAGTTTTTAAATTAGGTAATACATTCACACAGGTCATAAATAAAAAAGAATTTAAAGGTACACAGTGAAAATCTCCCTCCTACCTGGTCTCTCTCTATTCAATTCCTATTCCTTATCCCCAGTAACTAACTAATAAGTAACTAGTTTCTTATGTAGGTAGTATTTAGAGCATTCAAGAAAATATGAATATATATATGTATGTATATATATATTCTCCCTCCACACACTTTTTACATAGGTGGAAGCATAATGTGTATGTTGCTCTGTCTCCTTTTTTTAACAATATATTTTGAATATTTATTCATATCAGAATATAAAGAGCTTTCTCATTCCTTTTTGTAGTTGCATAGAGAATATGTGAATTTTCATCCTGATGAAAATATACATGTTTAACTTACTGGGATCAGTGATCCATCCAACTTGAATCTTTGTGCTTTCGATTGTGGCACCAAGAAACATTTTGTGGCATCACGTGATGGATGTCCTCTGTGAAATATCTAACTTTAGACTAGAATTTATTTTATTTATTTATTTATTTTTATTATGTTATGTTAATCACCATACATTACATCATTAGTTTTGATTCATTGTTTGCATATAACACCCAGTGCTCCATGCAGTACATGCCCTCTTTAATACCCATCACCAGGCTAACCCATCCCCCCACACCCCCTCCCCTTTAGAACCTTCAGTTTGTTTCTCAGAGTCCATAGTCTCTCATGATTCATTTTGACTGGAATTTTGAAAAGCTCTAACTCTATTTAAAAATGAGTTAATAGCCGGGCACCTGGGTGGCTCAGTTGGTTAAGCGACTGCCTTCGGCTCAGGTCATGATCCTGGAGTCCCGGGATCGAGTCCCACATCGGGCTCCCTGCTCAGCAGGGAGTCTGCTTCTCCCTCGGTCCCTCCCCCCTCTCATGCTCTCTCTCTCTATCTCATTCTCTCTCTCAAATAAATAAATAAAATCTTTAAAAAAAAATGAGTTAATAGCCTAATGTTTTATGAACTTACCAACACTCTTCTCCAACTCTTATTTTCAGTATAAAAAGTATCTTGAGGACAAAAGTGTGCGTAGTTTTATTTCATATTCTCTAAAGACATTTTATTTTGTTTGGTTTCAAATAATGTCATAATAGTTGGTTGGCAATAATAATACATTTGTATAGTGTTGATGTTTTACCAAGCACTTTCACATAATTTATTTCGTATCAACTATTCTTTATGACTCTACTGTTAAGTAGGAGTCTTATAATAAAGAAAGAGAAGAGTGAAGTTTGAAAAAATTGTACCTTACCTAGAACCCCACAACAAGCAAGTGTTGGACTCTATGTGAAGATATATATTTTTTTCTGTATTATAGCTTAATGGTTTAGTTTAAAAATTAACTTTATGCTATAACTTACAGGTTAATAGCATCATGATCAGCACACATATATTGAACACAAAAATATGCATGAGGTAGGCCATGAGAATCTTAAAATCTAGATGAAAAGATAGGCCAATTTACATAAAAACATAACTAATATGCTATAAGATCGACTTAGTGATGCATATTCATTATTTTAAGAGTTCAGATGAAGATTAGATTCCTATGAAAAAAATGGAGGAAGGCTTTGAAGGAAGGGTAACATCTTGGTAGGCAGAGGGAAAGCAAGAAAACACTGAGACCTAGAGATTAGAAGGGAAAGAATGGAGACATAAGTAGGATTTGAAAAATGAGGAATGAGAGATAGTTGATAGGTCTACACTGAAGAGAGTATTAAATGTTAGCTTAAAACAGGTCTCAGTATATTCTCTGGGCAAGAGAGTCAGGTGTCAAGCTGTCTCTAAAGATTGTTTAACAGTGTATTGGATTAAGGAGTCACGAGAAGCAGGAAGATCATTTATTCAATCCATTCATTCAACAAACAAGTGGCACTGTGCTGGTAAGCAAGATAGGTAAATACTGGTCTCTGACCCCAGAGAACTCATTGAAGAAAGACAGATGAACAAATAAATAACTACAAATTGTGCTAAATATTAGGGAGAAAATGTGCAAGGAGGAGGTAGAGCATTAAGGTACAGTGACTTAATTTAGATATGATGGCCAGGAAAGCATATTCTGAAATGTGACAGGCTGAAACCTACAGGATGAGAAGGAATCAACCACTGAAAGAGTTGGGAGAAGAGTCTTCCAGACCAAAGGAAGAAGGTGTGAATGGTTCTAGGGTAGGAAATAACATATATGTTATTACCTATATTAGGCCACTATTAAAGTGTTTGTTATTAAATAAAGAGGAGACTGACATATGGGGGGGCAAAAGTCTCTCTTACATTAACATTCGTTTCCAGTTATTTAATAAAAATAATCATTCCAGGGGCGCCTGGGTGGCTCAGTCATTAAGGGTCTGCCTTTGGCTCAGGTCATGATCCCAGAGTCCATCAGGCTCCATGCTCAGCAGGAGGCCTGCTTCTCCTCTCCCACCCACCCCCCCGCCGCTTGTGTTCCCTCTCTTGCTGTGTCTCTCTCTCCGTCAAATAAATAAATAAATAAATCTTTTAAAAAATTAATCATTCTGTTAGCAGCTTTATTAGCTGTTAGCATGTATACCAAAGTTCTGAACTGTAAGTAAAAGAGAGTCAGTATAAGAGAAGTTTAATAAAGGAATGGGAAAAAGGCAGATTGAGGTGACAGTGACTGGGGAGCATCAGAGAGATCACTGGTCACATACAGAAAGGATGTAGGAAACATGAGAAACAGATAGATGGACAAGGAGACAGATATCAAGGTTTAATTTCTACTATGAGTTTGCTTTATATAACTGATCTATTTTATATATATGAAATGAGAGTTAGATGCATATGTACCTCAAGAGAGTATTTAAGGTGAGTACTATATCATCTTTTAAAAAATGCTAGGTATTGGGGCACCTGGGTGGCTCAGTCATTAAGCATCTACCTTCGGCTCAGGTCATGATCCCAGGGTCCTGGGATCGAGCCCCACATCAGGCTCCTTGCCCAGCGGGAAGCCTGCTTCTCCCTCTCCCACTCCCCTTGTTTGTGTTCCCTCTCTTGCTGTCTCTCTTTCTGTCAAAAAATAAATAAAATCTTCAAAAAAATGCTAGGTATCTATACTAATTTTTTGAATTATGATTAAGCTAATTATTTAGAATTTGTATCTAAACTGAAAATATTTTCTCCTGATAGAGGTTAATGAACTTGCAAATGCCTTAAACAAAGTCACCAGTGAAAAAGTTGATGTTGATGAAGTAAAATCTATACTGAAAGGCCTGGGGATTTATTTCCCAGAGGAAGAATTACAGGAGGTGCTTACATCCATTCCTCTTGATAGTAAGTTATCCTTTTCTGAGTCATTTATTACATATCAAACTTGTGTTTACTTTTACTCATAAATCCACAGAGTTGATCGATTAGGAGTCAATTGTAGTGAGTTCAATAACATTAGATTTTCCCTATTAGGCTTGGATGAGAGTTTGTTTTGGATTATTCTAATATTGAATTTATCCTAGGGAAGTATGATCTTCTTCTCTTCTTTCCCTTTCTTTGCCTCCTGAGGTTTGAATCATACATTCTTATTGGACAGGGGCTATGAAGCTCTCTCAAGCCCATAAAGCACAGGGACAAGCCTTATTGTGGTGATATACACTACCAGTTTGGTTTCCCCACAGTCCTCAAAGGGCTACACTGGTATTTTTGAAATCCTGCCAGTAGGATGTTTAGCTTATGTGCAAAGCCTTATGGTATTCTTTTGTCTTAAGTTCTCAGTATATGACTAATAAAAAGTAAAAGACTGCACATTTCCTTTATTAATATAGCTTTGCTTATAAGTATGTATAGTCTTCGTTAGGTATTATGGTTGAGTTTGGTTTATGGTACTTCTAGTGAATATCTTCTTGTCTTCCCTCAAAACATAAATGGTGGGGCACCCAGTGGGTTGGGTATCTGCCTTCAGTTCAGGTCATGATCCCGGGGTCCTGGGATCGAGTCCTGTGTTGGGCTGCAGCAGGGAGCCTGCTTCTCCCTCTCCCCTCTTGTGCTTTCTCCCTTTCTCTCGCTCTGTCTCTGTCTCTCTTCAAATAAATAAATAAAATTTTAAAAAACACAAAAAATAAATGGTTATAGTAGGACTTGTAATGCTGAAAAATTAAGAGAATGTCACAGCAGAGAGGAAACATACAAAAAAAATGGTCACAATTGTAAATAAGTGTAAAATCCATAAAATGCTCATTGGCTCTACAACAAAAAAGACCACAGGAGTCATCATAATCATATTCCTTTTCATAGTCTGAGATGTGTTTAGCAGGATCAGAATTAGAAAACAGGACTAACTTGGTTCTGAAGGTTTAGTAAGCATGCTTATCTTGTGACCTCATTCTTTTGTATCTTTGGATCAAAGACCATTCACTTCTTTATGTTTCATTTTCAGACGAGGGGAAAGTGGACTTAAAAAATTGTCTGACTCAGTTAATGAAAATGCCATATTTTACAAAAGTTTCAAGTAAGTGAGAATTTTTTAACAATAAAAATTTTGATTGGAATTCTTTTGTTTTGATTATATGCATTTGTCCAGTTTTCTAATGCCAAAGCACATCATGTATATAACAAATGTACTTTGGATGACAAATCAATAAGGGATCCTAGTCCTGACCTTTTCTCGAAATTATAGAATTTTTTCCATCACTCAAAAAGGATAAAAGTACAAAATCCATCTGGGTGATTCATGTTAGTATCCAAGTTTGTGATCCAAGATGGCTGCCATCAGTTGCCAGTGTCTTGGACATTTTGAAATTCTGTGGGAATAAGATCGGTGTTCTCTTCTAATTCAAAAAGATACATGCACTCCTGTGTTTATTGAAGCATAGTTTATAATAGCCAAGACATGGAAGCAAACTAAGTGTTAATAGATGAATGAATAAGGAAGATGTGGTATATTTATATAATGGAATATTATGCAACCATAAAAAGGATGAGATCGTGCCATTTGAGACAACATAGATGGTCCTAGAGGGTATTATGCTAAGTGAAATAAGTCAGACAGAGAAAGACCAATACCATATGAGTCCACTCATAAGTAGAGTCTAAAAAAAGCCAAACAGGGGTGCCTGGCTGGCTCAGTCTACAGAGCATGTGACTCTTGATCTTGGGGTTGTAAGTTTGAGCCCCACATTGGGTGTAGAGATTACTTGAAAATAAAAATATAAATAAATAAGTAAAGCCAAACAACAAATAAACAAAAAGCAGAATCAAACCTATAAATACAGAGAACAAATTGATGATTGCCCAAAGGGAGCAGGTTTGAGGGTTGGGCAAAATGCGTGAAGGAGTGAGGGAGATAGAGGCCTCCAGTTATGGAATGAATAAGTCACAGGAATAAAAGGCACAGCATAAGGAATGCAATGATATTGTAATAGTGATGTAATGGGACAGATAGTAGCTACACTTGTGGTAAACATAGCATAATGTATAAACTTATCAAATCATTAAGTTGTACAGTGGAACTAATGTAACATTGTATGTCAGCTATACTAAATTTTTTTTTAAAAATCAGTGTTTTCTTTTTTATCCTATTATCATTTTATTAAAATGGGATTTTATCATGAGAAGATTACTGAAACATATAGGAACATGTTGAAACATATAGGCTTCCTCCATATTATGTAATAGGTTATTCTACCCGTTACTCCACTACCTTAGCTGTGAGACATTGAATATAATCTGGTTTTAATGTGTTCAGTTAACTGACTTCTCCAACAGTGAGATATCTGTGATGTCTGTGGAACTTCTGGGTCTCCTTGAAGTTTAGACTAAATGAGCCTTGGTTAGTAAATTCACCACTGTTTTGGATCCCCTGGGTCTCCTTGGAACAGCCCATATTCTTGAGATTAATTGAAATGGATTAATTTCCTCTAAATTTTAATTTCCAAAATTAAAACTGAACTAAATTCAAAAGGCCTAATTTAGGTAGCTATAAGGGATGAAACTATTCACCAGAGCCAAGGTATTTAGGATGTAACCAAAATGGTGTTTTTTCAATTGACAAAATATTTTGTCCTTAATCTTTGGTTTTCTAAATGGGGCCTATAAAACTTTTCCAGATATGTGGCTTATAAGCAAATCTCTCACAGGGTTAATGTTTATGATGGGATAGGGTTTATGATAATATAATATTTAAGATTTCTTTCTTGAACAATTCATACATGGTACTTTCAGAAATGAACATTATCTTTCTTTGGTATTGATATAGCAGTGCCAGTCTCTCCATTATTTGGGGGACATTTTTGTATGTATGTGTTGGATACATCCAAGTATCCACTGAATGAAAAAAATTAAGAATAGTCACATCAAACTATGGATAGTTATCTAATTTTTGGCAAGAAAATTACTTGTATGATTAGTTATCATAGCTTTAATGGAATTCCCAGCCTCAGATATGCTAGAGATGAGTATAAGCAGATGTCCTGAGATTTCTTTTTATGTAATCATTCTTCAATCTCTAATTAAATATTTGCAATGATTTGTTTGGCCTAGTGGCTAGACATTCTGCCTATGAAATCAGACTTCACACTTGGCTTCACATTTAGTAACTGTGTATGCTTAGGCAGATGAGCTTCTCTAAGGCCAGGCTTCTTTATCTGTTAAATAAGGAATTTTTGTGGCATTAAGTGAAATGGTGTATATAGAGCACTTAGCATAGTGCCCAAGAAGCTCAGACAGAATACTTAGTAAGTGATAGAAGTAGCAGCAGTACTACTACTAGAAGTAATTATCATCATCATCATCATCATCATCATCATCATCCAGAACCCACTACTGATATTTGAGTGTTTTTTTTGAAATTTCGTACATTGTATATTTTTTTGAATATAGAAAAAGAAGGCCCCCTGAAAGCTCTGGCTGCCATTAGGAAAAATGTGGTCACTCCTGATGACCTAGGCTCCATTATGAAATATATAGACATTCCATTACCTGAAGATGTGCTTCAAAGATCACTGCAGAATGTGACTCTCACAGGTGAGTCATGTTTCTAGATATCCTTTATCTTAGCTGACATGCATCTGTTTGAACTTTTCAAGAATCCTTACGGGGTTTATCTGCTGCATGGATTATCCAAGACCCTTTCCTATCTACTACCCTGTTGGGTTTTACTTATTTTCAATATCGTCATACAAAGGAGGATCTGTAGGGGATGAGTGTATGTGTCTGAATGATATGCATGTGTCTGTCTTTCTGACTGAATATTTATGTCTATATTTCAAGGCCAAATCTATAAACTGATTTTCAGCATAGCAGTTATGCTATAGTTGCCAGTCTCTGATCACATCCCCTGTTCCCTGACTTGCATTTTTTTCTTTCAGAGGATGGGAAAGTGAATTTAGAAGAGTTTGTGGGCAATTTAATCAATTCAGGATTTTCACCTCTATCTGAAAGTAAGAATTTTCAGTTGAATAGAGATAGATAATATGTGGGTTGTGGATCTCTTGGGAAGACTGCAACTAGGGTTTTGAGATGGTCTTAAAATGATTTAACACTGGCTTAATTTTCTAGTGTCTATTCCGTACATGTCAAATGCATAGCACAAAGAAAAGAGAACATGCCCTTTAGAGAGTACTAGTTACGTCTTCTGCCTAGTCTGAGACCAGAGTCTTGACTGCCATTATCTTTTCCACTAAGGGCCTTATGAAGAAAAAATAGTATTAGTTAAAATGACTAAAACAGCACTTGTAATTAGGCTGTTTGCAAGTTACTCTACTTTAACTAAAGTGTAATTGTATGAGACGTATTAACATGATAAATAGTGGGTTCCTGATACTGATTTATAATAACTCTTCATCAAGAGACTAGTGAAAACCTCTGTTACTATTAGGAGAATTTCTGTTTAGGTTTATTATTTTTCTTCTTTTGTTATTGAAACATTGTTTTCTTTGGTTATTTCTTTGTATTGGCTACCCCCACCCTTTTTTTTACCCAGTTTCTCTTTATACACTAATTCAAAGTTTAATTTTGGCAAAGGTTTGTCAATTATAATGTTAAGGATCATTTTCTTCTTTTGGTTTGCATAATATTTCTGTAATCTTAGGCCTCTTAGTTCCCTGATCGGCTGCCCTTTCCTGCCCCTCTGGTACTGAAAAGGAAGGAACGATTTATATTTTGCACATTTAAGTGAGAAGAATATTTCTGACACCAAGCCAACATTACACACACATTCAAATCACTTCATATTGTCCATTTTTAAGCACCCTCTATGGTTGCAGAAGCTCAAGGTTTACTTCTTTGACTATCTCCACCTACTTTTGGGTAGGCACACACATGTAGTTTGACGAGCCAAAAATATTTATGAAGAGATGTTTCATAGAAATGCCTTTTTTTTTAATTTTTTTATTGTTATGTTAATCACCATATATTACATCATTAGT